TGGTAACTTGACACAGATTGTGAAAAACTTAGCAAGAATTTACTGACACTGTTACTATGAGATTTTGAAAACATTTTAAGAAAGCTGTGCTTTCTTCTTTTATATATAGTGTGGTGTTAGGCCCACCTAGAGTTGGCCGGAATATTAGGTACAAGGAAAAAAGCCGCATCATGGAATATAAAAGCTGCATACAGCTCATCTCCTCAGTCAAGCATAACTGAGCCTTAATTTTCTCCATAGCACTCCATCTCACTGTCTCCTTTATGATGAGTTCACACCGAACAATATGAGTCTTTTGCTTTCCACACACTGGGCTCAACTCTTCAAACACTTTCCATATTGGCACACCAGATGATGAAAACACGCTGAAGGACCACTTTCATCCCACTTTGCGTGTAAACCGGACACCCCTGACACTGAAATTATGTTCAGTCTGACAGCATTAATCTGTCTCCTTCTGTCTTCTTAAACCTCCAGTCGATCGTGGCAGAACGCCGCTCACACTGAACCCGGTTCTGTTGGAGGTTTCTTCCTGCTAAAGGGGAATTATTCCTCTCCACTGTCACCGCATGCATGCCCTGCATGGACGGTTGTTGCAAATGAAATGATGAGACTTTCAACTGACACAACATGCTCATTCAGGAGGATAGCTACAAAGTCAATGACTGGATGGAACCTTCTGGAGTTTTTTTAGATGATCTAAAATAAACTGAACTCACCTTCAACGTGTCATGTTGCATAGCTAGGATCTAACTGGAACAGATGGAATGTTTCTTGGACTTAACTGATTATATACATAGAAATTTTTTAATCTTGAGCAAGAGAGTTGAGCAGGAAGAGTTCTGAAAGCAACTAAAGATGGAAATATCGAAGCGATCCACAGTGAACAAGTTTAAACATTCCGTAAAAATTCAAAAAATATCCACTGGACTTGGTTTTCAAGATTTGAAGACGTTTCGCCACCTCTCCAGGAAGCTTTCTCAATTCAAATGTCTGGATCCGCAGTGAGTTTGAGTCTTATATAGACAACGCCTTGTACCGCTTGGAAACATGCAATGGAAACCGATGAATGGGTCGTTAGTTCCATCGTTAGCCTGTAATATCTGAACCTGTCTATGATTCTAGGGGTCGGTCGTTAAAGGGGGGATTGTCATTAAGGGGGGGATTGTCTCCTGTAATACCTGAAACCTGTCCATGATTGTTAAGGGTTTAAACATTTAATTATCAGTTTGCTCTGTAGACATTACACAGACATTACAGGCTATCCTGGGGATATTCTACCAACACCGACACAAAAACATGGTGGCAGTAGTTCTGAGACTCCAAAGCTTTTAGCTAGCCTATATGTGTAGATGTTTTGCTCTCATATGCAGAGATGACTTCCTTCCTTGTTTTCTTTCTTCCACCAAACTTTCCCTTGACATGATCTTTCAAGCTCAGAATTGCTGGCCGGATGAATGAATTGGTGAATGGATAAATGGTTGTATTCCTCCTCACCTGATGATGTCATCATTGTGACCCAGGAAGAACTTCTGGGTGTGCTCCCGGGTGTTATAGACCACACCCACCCCAGCTACAAAGTAAACCACCTCCTTCCCTGCTGTGTAGTACAGGTTGTTCCGGCACTGGTGGCCCCGATAACCATGGATCCACTCCAACCGGAGCTGGCAGCGCGGAGCTGTTTTATCCGACATGTTGGCTTCCAGCTGCGTTTAACAAGACCTCAGAGTGTCAGTCTGAACCCACTGCCGCTGAGGATGCTGGGAGCTGTAGTCCCTTCTCTAGGGGTGCTTTTATCCAACTACACCTCCCATCATTTCCATTCTGCAGCTTCTTGACTGGAGCAAAACACCAAGCCAAAGATGTTCATGAAATTCTTTCAATCAAATTGTAGAATCTCTAAACTCCACATGCTTCCCTCAGTCTGCATAGTTCCCTTAGCTGTTCCTTTAAGTTTTTTCAGCAATGAAGGTGTGTTTATCATCATTTGCATAGTTTGATATTCAGATAGTTCTGCTGAAAGATTCTAACCCATTTATTTTGTAGAAAAGGATAAAACCAAAGAGTCTCTACAGTGTCCTGCTCTGGTTGGGCAATTCATTAAATAAAAACATAAAATATTTCAGGTTCTCAAACCTCTGAGTTTTCTTCTACATTTATGTATTTCACATTATTCATCATAATATTTAATTTCTATTGATCCAGATAAGATGTCTGTCTCTCACAGGTTTATTTATTTCTAATATTTTATAAATTTCCACATATAAATCCAGTTCACATAATAACTATAGAACCTGTTCCTTTAGAAGCAGTATCCGGTTGAAGATTTTAAAATCCTGCTCTTTGAACTGTTCCTGGATTGGTAATCCGGAGAGCATCCTCAGCGGACCGGCGGGGCTCCTATCAGCCCGGTGGGTCCCGGTCCAATCAGAGCAGAACCCGATCAGAATTCCAGCGTTTAATTCCGCTGATGAGTCCGCGAAGGATGGAATAAGAGAAAATCCCTCCGCCTTCTGTTCAGCCTGAAATCCTCAGATTACAGAACCAGAATCTGGACCAGCAGCTCCACACCAGCACCATGACCCATCCTGAAAGGGCTCCCCCACCGGACGCACGCGCGCGGCGAATAAAAGGCCACGGGGAGCCCGCGAGACCCCGAAAAAAGGAGCAAAGTGGGAATATTAACGGGAATCTCAGGGATCACTGACCGAGTCAAGCTGGAAAACAGGGAAAACTATTTCCTCAGGGGATTTTCAAAATAAAAGCTACTAAATCCCACCCATGTTTAACTGAATCCAAACATGAATTATTATTATTATTAATGACTGTTGTTTTTCTATGGAAGCCCGTTTCCACCAGTCTGTAAAAAAAAAAAAAAAAAAAAAGATCTCATTATATTGAGTTACTATCTCATTATATTGAGTTACTATCTCATCATAATGAGATAATTTTTTTTTAAATTTTTTACAGAGGGGCGGAAACGGCCTCTGATAAATGGTTATCAGCAGAGGCGTACCCAGAACATTTTTATAAGGGTGGCCAGGTAATAACCACTGTACACTGAGGGGTGGCTGAAAGTGGATAGGCTCCAGAACCTCAGGGTCAATCTACAACAGAAAAATTAATGGGCTCAACATCCTTATTTTCTAAATAAAGGCAAACTATACTTTCCTACAACCTTACAAGTAGACGGATAAATATTTAAACATCCCAGCTTTCCAGATAAAAGGTATAATGGATACAATTCTTTAAGGTTTGAGTTCTGGGGCAAACATTCTGCATAAAATTGATATTTACAAGTACTAATATCTATATAAATTGATTATTTAATGCGGTTTATTAAAATAGTTTATCAATAATTTTACTAAAGACTCCTAGATGACCTGCAGAGAGACAGAATTTTCTATTTAACCCATAAAACACAAAATCTACTTCTGAAAAGAGTATGAATTCTGTACTTATAATCTTTAAAGGAATAGTACACCCAAAACATAATCATGTTTTGGGTGTACTATTCCTTTAATGTTGGTATATTGATGTGCATAATTAACCAGTGTTTTTGTTGTCAAGTAATTGTTAATGTATGAAAAATTTAAATGTTTTGAATATTCCACTTCAGATTATTACTGCTGCCACCATCTGTAGAGGGGGAAAATAGTGGCCATGGCCCCCCTTGGCCCCCCATCTAGCTCCGCCCCTGGTCACACCAAGTCCTGGCTCTTATGTGAAGTTGACCGATGACCATAGATCCAGAGGACAGAGCCTGAGGTGTCCCCTGGACACAGAGCAGCTGACGGGGAGACAAAAGGACTGAAACGTCACGTGTCCCCCACGTAGCCTATGTATATTTGTTCTTTATCTGACCAGGCACTGTTCTCCTGCTAGTTTTGGTTCTAATCTACGGAGCCCCTCTGTTGGATGATTTCTCTTTGGTGATTAGCTCCAACTTCCGGTCTGGCTCGCGCGCTGACAGCGCAGGTGCGGCTTCAGCACAGCGGGGGATCTGGATCAGCTTTGCGCAGTGAATGCTGGGAAATGCAGTGTTTTGGGGGCTTTCTGGAGAGAGATGCTCCTATTTTCCTGCCAGTGCAAATTCAGCCGAGCCGAACTGGAGTTTGGACGGGATAGGGAATAATGGACCTGCGCTCAGGAGCACGAACATTTCATTTTTATTTATTTAAAACATTAAACAAATGTCAAAAAATAAATCAGGAAATAACTTTTTAAAATATAAAGGAATACGAATGAAGATGAGACACATACTTGTTTTTAAAATCTCTACTGAAATACATTTTTGTAATGTTCTAATAATATTTTGATGTTTTTTTTTTAGGATGTAAGATTATTTCTGGTTTGTAGCATTTTTAACATCCGTTTTTAATAGCAAAAGTAAATAGTAAAAAAAATTATTGAGGTAATCAATCATAAAGAGATTAATAACATAAAAACCAATATATTTTTGTAAATATTACCTTAGAAGGTAGTATAATGATATTTAATAATCTCTTGATATTTTTTTCTTTTAAACCATTTAAAAATAAAAAATTTCCATTCTTTTCATTTTATTCTGTTGATTTACATTCAGTTTTTTAAATGTGCCAAAAACAAAATTGAACTGCTGTTCGAAAAGAAACCTGTAATATCTTAAAAATCCATATCTGATGATAAAACTCTTAAATATAAAGTTAGTTTTTTTAAAAATGTTTGTTTAACCTATAAGAATGTTTAAACTTTAAAGCTTTAATAAGAAAGAAATCCATGAAAAAATTCTGAATTATTGAGAAAATGTTTAATAACAGAAAGAAAAGTCACAATAGAATAAGTTATACGAAAAATCAAAATATAATGAAGAATAACAAGTTTCAGTATTTTGAGGAAATTAACTGAGAAAGTAAAAAAAATGAAAAATATCAAAAAGTTCTGAATCAAAAACGGTGAAATAAGAAGCATTTTCTGTGAATTCAACATAATGTGATAAAATGACATCACGGAACAGGAAGTGAGGTCATAGTTGAATAGCTTTAATGAGTTGGCAGCTTTAACAAGTGCAGCTTCATACATGAGAAAAGCTTTTAATAGGTCATTCCTAATGATGCAGCTCGGATTGTGCAGAAACACGAACTTCCATACATGTTCGCTACATTACGGATACGGTGACGCGGAGCGAGCGACGGAACCAAAGAAGAAAACGGGTCAGGTGAGCTTACATGAGGCATGCAGGTGAACTTTTTTACACCCAACCCCGAAGATTTACTCCAAGCCTTAAAAAGTTGGTCCAGTTTTTCAGCAACGTCCCATCAGAACCGAGGAAAAAATAGAAGTACAAAAATAAGTTCAGGAAAATTAAAACCAGGGGAACCAGGTCCAGATGATGTCACAGAACCAGCAGGCTGAGCGACATCCAATCAGAGGACCGGCAGAACAAAGACAGACCAATCAGAGAGGCAGAGCAGTGCCTCACCGACAAGAGAAACAAACAACAACAGAACAGAATCAGAAACATTCAGAACCGACGGAATGGGCCGACGCTGGTGAAACTTTCAGTTTCCTCAGAACCTCACCAGATGTCCTCCTCTACCACTGGTCCATCGCTGTGACATCATAGATGACATCATCAGCAGCTGCTCATTGGCTCTTACAGTTTAGACAAAGCAGGTCTGATTGGTTTGATCTAATTGGACCCAAGGTACAGAATCAGGATCAGATGGATTCTGCTACTAAAACGGTTCCAAACCTCTACTACTCTGGTAGAACCAAACTAAGGTTGGTTCTCCAGTAGAACCACATTCAGGCTCGCTTTCCAAGCGTTTTAGATCCTGGTCTGGATCAGTTCTGTTGGAACCAGTTTTAGATCCTGATTGAGGATGTGTTCTGCAGCAGAACCATTTTTTTGTCCTGGTCTGGGATCTGGGTTTGGAAAACCATTTTGGATCTTGGTCTGACATTGGTTCTGCAGCAGAAGCATTTCTGTAGACTGGTCTGAATCATTTTGACAGCAGAACCAGTTTCAGTCCTGGACCTTTTCCCTCTTTGGTTTTAGATAGTGAACTGTGATTGGATCTGGGATCCGAAAGTACTGCTGAAACCCGATCTGGGGTTGGTTCTGTGGCAGAGGAAAGGCATATGATGAAGTGCAGCCGGACTTCATGAAGGTTTCAGGTAAGTTCTGAATGTGCAGTTCTGATCTCAGTAAAGCTGACAGGAACTGAATGTGAGTCAGCGCTCCGAAGCAGGTCGGATCTGGTCGGGGGTTTCTTGCTTTGGAGCGCCGGGTTTGGTTTCACCAATGCGGCTCCTTGTTGCTCTTCTTCTACTGCTTCTTCTTGCTGAACAAGCTGAACCGTTTTTCTTTCTCCTTCTCCTTGTCCTTCTCTCTCTTTCCAGGACTGGACTCGGTGGTGAGCGACACGCTGGCCGGGAGCGTCTGAGCGCGCCCGGTGGACGGCGTGCCGGGGTTACTGCCCTGGACTTCGGATCGCTCAGTGGTGGCGGCGTTTAGGACAACCTGGATCCAGTTACTCATCTCCTCCTGCAGAGGGCGACAGAGGCCCGGTAAAATATTTAGACAACAAGCTGCTGACAAATGAATGGAAAACTGATCTGGACGTTTTTACCTCAGTTTTACTCTGATATGTAACTTCATCAGTTTGTTCCAGGTGACACAGAGATGCGCTACATCATTGTTTCCCAACCTTTTTGGACTTGTGTACCCCTTTGTAAATTTTGCCTTACCGTGAGTCTCCCTCTCAGTCAAAAGTAGGGGTGTAAATCACATCCATCATGGCGATTCGCTTCGGTATCGATTTCCTGACCCAACGATTTGATTATTTTAGATACTCAAGAATACACCACCATACGATTCGATTCGATTAATTGGTTCATTTTTTTTTTTTTTTTTTTGCACCTTACAGGCTAGACAATGTTTCAAATTTGAAATAAATTAATGAAAGCTGTAATATTGTTATGCTTTTTTTTTTGAGAAACTACAGAAAATAACAGAAGTAGAAAAGTTGCACTCCATCTATTTCTATTAAAACCTCATTCACTGAAAAATAATAATGCCCCTGCATTATAGATTCTGAAAGGCCTTGCATCAGAAAATACTGCACAAAATCAGTGCAATGAGTTCAATGCAGTACCTCGGCTTCAGACGTCCCGCCCCCTCCACAGACACTCCACTGCTCCTCTCCCAAATTGTAGCTGACCGCAGACAGTGCCGCAGACAGGAGGCCGGCTTGTTTTGTTTTTATGAACGAAATTGCGGAAAACAACTCGTGAAGTTTGACCCGCTAGAAGAGCGAGGTGCACGAGAACACTGGGACCCTTTTTCCACCTGGATCTCCGCTCTTTTTGGCCCTCATGTCCCTCCGTCGTCGGACTAAACTCTCCCCCACTTCCTCGCCGCCTCTGCCGTATCTAGACCCACAGCGTGTAGCACAGACCACGCTTCAATATTGATCATAATTAAAAAATGTCTGTGTCAAGCTAACTGAAACACACTGCTGTAAGAGTATAACCAGGAAGCAAAGTAGGAGGGCAAAATAGGTTTAGCGCCACCGCAGCACGGGAGGGAGAATTACGCCCAGGAGCAAATGGATAAAAATAGACTGGAGGAAAAAAAACATGAATCGATACTATTGCGGACGTGTAAAGGCATCGGATCGTCGGCTGTTGGATCGATGCATCGATACAAAACGATTATTATTTACACCCCTAGTCAAAAGTATTGATGATTGACCAAATGCTGAACAATAACTGATTATAAAATAAACACTATTTTACTTAATCTTTTAATTTGAGCATTTAATTCTCTCCATCTCAAATAAAAAAAAACAAACATATTGCCTGGAAGATAGTAGGGAATCGCAATAAATACAAAGTAAAATCATGTTATAAACCTGTATTTACAAAACTGTATCTCCCTTATAATCACATTTAAACTTGAGGAATTGAAAAAAAAAACAAAGAGCAAAAATTACAGTCAGACTAAATCCATTAGTTTTACTTTGTTTTCATCGAGACACCTAAGCTGCTTTGATGACCTCCGACAGCTCAGTGTGAAAAATGGCTGATTCCAGGCTGTTCTCTGCATCCAGTCTGATCATCTGCTTGGTTTGGATGTGTGTCACAGCTGAAGGTGAACTCAAACATATTAGAAAAACTTACTTTTTGATTGATAAAAGCAAGGGCGTAGGTTTGATTTGAACTTTGGTAGGGACACTATTGGCCTGGTGTCATTGGTGCTATGCAATATGCATGCCCTTTTCTATGCTCAATGTGAGCATCCGTACTGATAAGAGGAATTCATTGTTAAAAGAGAAAAACATTTTGCTCCATTAATAAAAATGTTATAAGCTCTACACTCATTAGATGCTGTTTATCAATGTTTGAAGTATCACCGGCTCTGATGAATGTGGAATTAGGACTGTTTTCCACTTTGAAAATGGTTTAATTTGAACGACTAAGAGAGAAGGTAAATACAGTATTTTCTTTTGAAGATATAGAATTGTGCAGAGTTAAACCCCACTCTAATATTTGTACCTACTATTCTCTCTCTGTATCAAGCAAAATAATACATTCATTAAAATATTAACTTCACTATAAAAGTTGAACATCTGGGCTGTAGTTACTCTGTGTAGCCCATTTCATGTATTTTATCTGGGGCTGAAAAAAATGAATCATATTAATTATTTATTTCAATAACTGTCAACTAATTTAGTGAGTGATTCATCATTAACTGGAGAATAGAGACTTTAAAACATACAGTAATATAAATGTAAAATGTGCCTTTCCCCACAGAGCAACCCACTTAGATCAGTTATTATATAAAAATTGTAAAAATAAAAACAAAAAAATGAAAGCAGTAAAATTAACTAAATATCGGTAAAAAAGAAACCCTCACATTTTCTTTTTTAGGTGGCTGTGGCTAAGAATCAGAAATGTTGATGCTTAAAGCCTTTATTTGCCCATTTTTCCAGCAGTCTTCAGAACTCCTGGCTGACTCAGAATATTTCGTTTTATAAAAGAAAAAAAAAGGTTTTTGTTTTTTAGTGTACATCATATTCATTTTTTTTATTGGGACTAGTTTTGTAGCCTAATATTAATTGTAGTAACCGCAGCATTCTAGTGTGAATAAATTTTCAATGTTGTGCTCCAAGCACACGCGGACTAGAAAACAGCCAATCAGAGAGAGAGAAGGCGGAACTTAAGGCAGAACAACCAATGAGAGTTGAGTTAAACAGCGCAGCACAGTTCCATGTGCTGCTACATGAAAGGGACAGGAGAGACAAGGCAGAGGAGCTGCGAGAGGAAAAGAAGCCACCGCTGCAACAACTACTGCTGTAAATTATAAACATGTTGCCCACATCCAATTATTGGTAGGGACAATTAGGTTGGTTCAAAATTTTGGGAGGGACATGTCCCTATGGTCCCTATGCAAACCTACGCCCATGGATAAAAGCGCTCTATTTTATTTTACTACCTAAGAGATAAAATGTTTTACATGTACACCTTGCAATGCACTAGCTGACCACTAGGGTACGTGTACACCCGGTTGGGAATCACTGCAGTACAGAAGCAAAGGTTAGAACTAAACACACAGAACTCTACTGGACCTAAAGAACATGGCTTGTTAGAGAAGAGGGGTGCAGTTTTCTCTCTGATCTACTTATGTCCGATATTTCTACCCCAAGAGGAAACTTACTTCATCTTTGGCTTGGAACAGGAACTCGTTTCCATCAGAGATTCTGAGAGAGAAGGAGGAAGAGGAGAAGTTAGAACAGGTCAGATTGTTACAGAAGGTTTCCTCAGATGTTTGGATTTTTAGGTTCTGACGGTGTCTCTGTGACCTCTGACCCATTTAGTCAGGCAACATAAGAAACCATTGGTAACCTGGTAAAAGTTAAAACTCTGATTTCAGTGGGTTTAAACTAACCAGTCTGTGATGTTTATACTGCTGTAAACTCTTTGATACCTGATTAACAGGTTCTCTGCTGATTTAAAGTGGTTCCAGTTCCAAACTTAAGCATGTTTGGAACTGGTTTATAAGGTGCCAACTGTTTTAAACCATTTTAAAGAAGTTCTAAATTGCTTAATACCAATTGAACTCTTCAGACCCGATTAACAGGTTCTTAATGGGTTTGTACTGGTGTAAACCCTAATATTCTAATTTAAAAGGTTCTAAAATGGGTCCTACCGGTGTAAACACTTTTATACTAATTTTAACAGTTTACAAAATGATTAAACTTAGATATCTTACAAACTGATCTATACGGGTGTAAACGCTTTATACCTGTTTAATAAATTCTGAATTGGTTCATAATAATGTGAAGCCTAATATCTCAATTTAGAAGGTTCTGAAATGGGTCATACCAGTGTAAACTATTCTATACCCATTTTAACAGGTTCTGAACTGGTTTATATTTGTGTAAAGTAATATTCCAGTTTGCTTGTTAGTTAAATGGTTTCTCTGAACCATGTTGTTCCATTGGAGCCTTACTGAACCACCATGAGCTGGCTTGGAGCTCATCGGCCTGCTGTGTGTTTCCAGGGCGGATCTAGATAGCAGTTTCCTTTTCTATCTCTGCTTCTTTTTCTATGTCTCTTTCTGTCTCCTTGAAACCATCGACCTCAGCAGATGGCCGCTCACACGGATCCTGGTTCTGCTGGAGGCTTTTCATGTTAAAATTGAGTTTTTCCTCTCCACTGTCGCTTCATGCGAGGCAAGGAGCATGTCTTGGAAGTCAATGACTGGATGCAATCATCTGGTTTACCTTTCCAGAAACTTTTAACCAATCTCACTGTATTGTTTCTCCAAAGTGTCTTGAGATTACCCGTGTTGTGAGTTGATGCTATATAAATAAACAGAATTTAAATGAATTTGATATAACTTTACAAAGATCAACAAAAGTGAGGCTGTTACTATGACTACGGCCCGGACATACTTCCAGACTGGTCTTGTCTCGGTTCTGGACTTGTCTCATCCTTACCTGAGCTTGAAGACGTGTTTTTTCTTTTTATAGTCTGATGCGACATCACAGGTGGCGTCTTTCAGGCTGACGGGCAGCTCGCCGTGGTACGGCACGCCCTGACTTGCCGCCTTGCTGTCCTTGTAGAAGCCCAGTTCCTGGTTTCTGATGACGCAGTACACGTTGTGCCAGGACCTGCAAATCAAAGAGCAGCAGTTGTCAAGCGCTGTGATGTCAGAGGGAGGGGCTGAGCAGTCTGACGGATCCCACCTGTTGGAGGCTTTCTTATTGTGCCCCTCCCACTCGTGTTTGCGATGCAGGAAAGCTTCGAGCTGTGAGGGTGAGTCCTGGTTCTGGGCGGGCAGCGTGGAGGACTGGCTGTTTTTGGCCTTCCGTCCCGAGGATGGCGAGTGGCTGGGGCTCGGCTCCTTGGAGCTGCGCTCGACAATCCCGTTGACCAGACCGCCACCTTCCCCGACATCCTGCCGGCCCGGATCAGGTCGAACAGATGGGAAACGGATTTTAAAGAAGAAGACTATTTTTAGTGTTTATTTAAAAAGCTAAATTAAAGTTTATATATATATATAAATATATAAAGTATAGATGAAAAAATATAGTTTAAACTGAGGACTGCATGACAGCTCAACCGGTTCTGTTTCAGAAGAAAATCCATCTGTACCTGAATCCTTATATTAGCCAAAAAAAAATACAAAATTGGAGCAGGGCTTCCTCTACATTGAGGAGCGCTGCAATGGGAAAATTGCGTGCAGTCAGGGCAGAGACAACCTCTGCCTCCCCGTTAGAACCTGGTCACATTGATGCCTCCATTACACAGCAGGATTTTGGTATATCTTTTATATTAGTGTTTATTTTAGTCACATTTGCACTGAAAGCATTTTGGAAAATAACTACAAAAAGTTACTGAAATGTGGTGAACAGCAGACTGACCTTAGGAGAGTCTTGATCCTGATCCGATGGGAGTCCATTCTGAGTGACAGCGCTGCAGGAGAAGAACAGATACGGTGTTAAAAGCTTCGGACAAATAAGGGAGATCAGGAGAGCGAGCAAACATGGCGAGCAAACCTCTAGAGAACTTCAATCCCTGCACGGGTTGGATGAACCTCATGGTTCATCTGCTGTGATCGACCTGGTCGCTTCAGATATCAATCACTGATCCTCCCTCAACCGCAGCATCCTCCTACTCCTCCTCATCTCCATCTTCCTCATCACCATCCTTCTCCTCATCATCATTCTCCTCATCATCATTCTCCTCATCATCATTAGCAGCCCCATCATCATACCCTCTTCCTCCTCCTTACCATCATCATCCTCCTCGTCAGCATCCTCCTCATCATCATCAGCCTCATCTTCATCATTACCATCATTATCCTCCTCCTCATCATCATCAGCCTCATCTTCATCATTACCATCATTATCCTCCTCCTCATCATCATCAGCCTCATCTTCATCATACCATCATTATCCTCCTCCTCATCATCATCAGCCTCATCTTCATCGTTACCATCATTATCCTTCTCCTCATCCTCAACATTCTCGTCTTCATCGAGCTCCTCATCATCATCAGCCTCCTCATCTTCATTATTACAACCACCATCATCATCCTCCTCTTCCTCATCACCATCCTCCTCATCATCATTCTCCTCATCATCATCATCATCATCATCAGCAGCCTCATCATCATACCCTCTTCCTCCTTCTTACCATCATCTTCATCATGACTATCCTCCTCCTCATCATCATACTAACCACCACCTCATCTTTGTCAATACCATCATCATCCTCCTCGTCAGCATCCTCCTCCTCATCATCATCAGCCTCATCTTTATCATTACCATCATTATCCTTCTCCTCATCATCAACATTCTCGTCTTCATCGAGCCCCTCATCATCATCAGCCTCCTCATCTTCATTATTACGACCACCATCATCATCATCAGCCTCCTCATCTTCATTATTACGACCACCATCATCATCATCAGCCTCCTCATCTTCATTACGACCACCATCATCATCATCATCATCAGCCTCATCTTCATCATTACCATCATTATTCTTCTCCTCATCATCAACATTCTCCTCGTCTTCATCGAGCTCCTCATCATCTTCATCATCATCATCATCAGCCGCCTCATCTTCATTACGACCACCATCATCATCATCATCATCATCATCATCATCATCAGCCTCCTCATCTTCATTATTACGACCACCATCCTCATCATCATCAGCCTCATCCTCCTCATCTTCATCATTACCATCATTATCCTTTACATCAACATTCTCCTCGTCTTCATCCAACTCCTCATCATCATCAGCCTCCTCATCTTCATTATTACGACCACCATCATCATCCTCCTCTTCATCATTACCATCCTCCTCATCAGCCACTGCACTAAAGTGACACAACTGGAAACTTTAGAAAGGCTGAAAGTCTCCAAAGCAGATCTTGGTTCCACCTTTGGCCAAGAAACCCTTTCAGGAACATTTTAGGGAACATTACTTCAAACTAATTACAGCTACTAGTTACTTCTACTAGTTAGAAAATCAATTACTGCTCAATCTAACTAACTAATTAATCTGCAAAGGTGCTATGCAGTTATTTTTGATGATCCAAAATGTCTGAGTCGGATGACTTTTTATTTATTGCAACTAAAAAGAGAGATCTATTTATTTGGGAAATATATTTTTGATGTAAAAGATGAGTAACACTACTGTAAGCTGTTTACTTTATTTTTTTATAACATATTGTCACACAGAGGTCACCATGTTTATGCAAGGTCCTGCAGCCCAAGCTCTGTCCAGCTAAAAGAGTAATGAGTAGCGTTAAACGTCTGTGGCTGCTGCTAGGAGATGCTAAACCACATGGAGAGCTATGCTACAAAGAGCTCCAGTTTCTAAATGAGGCTGTTAGCAGTTAGCATCAAAACATTTTATCAGATATATTGGAACGACAAAAACAACTATGCTAATGCTAGCCTTCCTGATTTCGTTCTGTAGGTTCCAGTCAGACATAACAAGCTCTTAGAGCAGCAGCCATTCGTAGACAGCTTAGCATTCGGCTCTTTAAGAATATAATAAAGGATATAAATAAAACTTTGTTCTGTTGCAACTGCAGCCTGTGCTGGTTACAGAAAAGCTGCTGCATTATGGACCCGCCTCATGTTCTTTTTAAAGGTTGTGTGTTACAGGGAGTTTCACCTCTGCTGCTGAGCTTCCTCCTGCTGGACCACGGCCGGCTCAGGAGTCGGGGGCTTCCTCCTCCTCTCCTCCTCCTCCTGCTGTCTTCTTACTTCCAGCAGCTCCAGCTGGAAAACAGGACGACCCGTCAGCATCATTAGAACCCTTCCCCTCCCCCCCTTCTTCATCGCCCCTTCTCACCGTGGTCAGCCTCTCCAGGGCAGAGAAGCGCTCCTCCCAGGTGGCGGCGGACTTCTCAAAGGCCTCATGGCGCTTGATGAGCTTCTCTACCTCGTCCACGCTCTGGCCCATCTCCCTGCTGGACAGGTACGGCTCCTGGCCCAGCAGCCAGGCCTCGGCCACTCCAGCGTCTCGCGAGAACTGGTGGACCTCCAGGACTAAGAGAGAGAGGAAGATTAGAGCACCAGGAGGAGCAGCTGGATGCCCGGTGGACAGGAAGTGTTTCTTACTGAGGCGGAGCCACTCCCAGCGATCCTCCCACTTATCGATCATCTCTTTCCTCTTATCGGTGAGTTGCAGCAGCTTCTCCTTGATCTGAGCGACGGGGAACATAGAACACGGGTCACTGGCGTAGCCACAATCAGAACACTCCAAACTCAGGGGTGAACACGAACAGCCAGGTTCTACAGACCGAAACCCAGTGGTAGAAAACTACGGACCGCTGGTCAATTTCGCCTGTTTTTGTATTTAGTTTTGATCAAACTGATGTTCATAACAGCCAAATCTGACCTGAATGAATTCTGGTTTTAATAAATTAATTTATCAAAGTATCCCCCCGATTAAATCCTGAATGACCAGTTTTTAATTTACCAGAATGAACTAAATACTTCCTGTCCTGTAGAATAAAAGAATCACTTCAACGGGGTCAGGGTTTAAATCTGAACAAATCGGGTTTCGATTCTGAATCCTAACGATTCCGACTCTTTTAAGACACATGTCACGTGTCTGATGCTGCATGGGCTTACGACAATTTTATCATTTCATTTCCCTGATTCTAACTGGGCTACGACAGATACGGGTTCCTTAAGACCGATACAGGGTATTTTGACATCAGTCTAACAGATCCTGGGTATTGCTGCTAATTTTTTAAGCAGATATTGCTTTTTCAACACCCAATGAGATACAAGTGGGAACAATCAATGTGTGCACGAAAATGAAACGTGAGATTGAAAAAATGTATTGTTTTTTTTTCCTCAACAAAATAAAATTTCTTCTTCTTCTTTAGTTGAAATTAACCCTCTAAGTTGCATGTCTTCCTTTAACAAACCATGCTGCCACATGTATGTATGTATAGTTTAATTATTTTCATTTGAATGTTTTATTCTGTTTTATGAACCTATAATCCGTAGTCCAGTGAACATTTATTCTGTATTTTAAAAAAAGTTTTAAAGAGTTTTAGCTGCTTTTATTTCTTTTTATATTTGTATTTTTCATTGTAAAATTCTTACTGTTGTGTTTTTAGGCATACAATTTCCAGGGTTCCTACAGCGTAAGGCAAGTGAAATTCAAGACTTTTTAAGACTTTTTAATGCCACTTGAAATAAAAATTTAAGACCAAATTCACAAGAAACACAAGAAAACCCCGCTTGCGACAACTTTACCCAAAGCTTTATTATAACATAAACCACTGCACTGATGTTTCAAATTTTGAAAAACTTTAAAATTTCGCATTTCCCAAATGTCCCGGCCGCAACAACGCTTTTATTGGTTCCGCTATCGGGACGGAACCAATAATGGCGAGCCGTTATTATAAAAAAAAAAAAAATAAAAAAAAAATGTTTTCAATTTTAATGTTTTATTTAGATTATAAAAATAAATCGTAATAAAAATCCTATTTATGATGTTTTAAAAAATAAGACTAATTTAAGACATTTTAATAGCAATTCAGGCCTTAGTTTTATTTTGAAGAATTCAATGCCTTTTAAGACTTTTTAAGGACCCGCGGGAACCCTGTAATTCTGGTGCATTTGCAGGAATGCTTAATAATGTACACTATCCCTGTCAAATAAATAAATTAATAAATAAAATTTGGGTATTTCATGATGGCTCCACTTTGCTGCATTACTGCTCTTTTGACACCAATCCTTGTGCTACATGTACATTTCCACTAAGAATCACAGAGCCCATTTATAAATATAATCTTGCTTGTATTTGGTTTGGCGTTGCATGCGACTCATTCACTCGTAAACACTCTCATGCAAACACTAGTTTCCTCTGCTCTATCTCACATGTTTTATCCAGCTTTTGGCCACTTTGACACTTCATAGAAGCTGCACCACAAATGTATTTATTTATTAGGGAACAAATTCCCTCTGAGAACCTAGTTTAACTCAACACCGGTGCAGTAGATCACAAACGAGGTAACCTTCGGCAGTGTTTAGTCAGTGTCGCACGTAGCCGACAGGTCACGTCTTTAAGTGAACCTTTGCTTTCAAATGCTGCCGCATAAACCGACCGTTATGGAGGATAAAAAGTGCCAAAATTAAATAAATAAATACAGCATTAAATAAATAATTACATGTGTCAATAATTAATTAAATGTGGAATTAAATAAATAAATGTGTCATTCATTAATTGAAACCACGTCACTAATATAAAGCGCCACAATTAAATAAATAAATACAGCGATAAACAATTCATTAAATGTGTAATTCATTAAATAAATAAGGAATTTAATATATAAATCTGTCATTAATTTAATAAAATACGTCTTAATTTTATTAAAAATATATATATAATTATTTCAGTGTGCATTTAATGATTTCATGGTCCTGTGTCGCAGTGCATCGAAGCCATTAAAAGAATCTGTCAAACTCACCCATCAAAGTTAGGGGGCGGTTATCTAACACCTGATTGGTCACCCTGCACATTAAGGCGAAGCAAATCGATTACAGAGACCGTAATCCACAGGTTGTGAACATACTCTGATACAGTAGGTGGCGACTCGATTCACGTTAACCCCGCCCCCTAACTTTGATGGGTGAGTTTGACAGATTCTTTTAATGGTTTCGATGCACTGCCACACAGGACCATGAAATAATTAAATGCACACTGAAATAATTATATATATATTTTTTTAATAAAATGAAGACGTATATTTAATTCCTTATTTATTTAATGAATTACACATTTAATTAATTGTTTATCGCTGTATTTATTTATTTAATTGTGGCACTTTATATTAGTGACGTGGTTTTAATTAATGAATGACACATTTATTTATTTAATTCCACATTTAATTATTTATTTAATGCTGTATTTATTTATTTAAATTTGGCACTTTTTATCCTCCATAGTTCGTTGCACAAACTCCTTTTTCACTGTTAGTATTGGGTGGCTTTTTCTTCCAGATGACAAACTGGGCATCGAAATTAGGAATCAAAAATGAAAAATTTGAAGGATTCCAGAATAATTGAAAGGTTACAAATATTTCCAGTCAATACTTGGTGCCCCACATGTATGGTTGAGTTCTGAGTTCAGAACCACTGATGACCAGAAAGACCAAAAAACGGCTGAAACCCTTGGCCATCTGAAGAGACAAAGGTGGACCTTATAGGAAGCTGTCCTGCATTAAGTCACAACCACCTGCAGTCAAAAATGAAGGGTGGGGGGACCCGAGACGACTTGCTGTAACTCATGGAACTATGATAGGAAATGTAAGAGCAGCGTTTAAATATTTTAGGTTCTGGTAATCACATTTAATACATTTTAATGCCAATTAAGGCCTTAATTTAAAACATAATAATGATTTTTAATGACCCGCGGAAACCCTGTTCTCTGCTCCCTCTCAGTTCTCTTGAAGTTCCCTCTGTTTTCTCTCAGTTACCTCAATATTTCCTCCCAGTCCTTCCTCAGCTCACCTCTTCTGAAGCGAAGTGCTTCCTGGCCAGCAGGGCTTTGCCCAGCTCGATGCAGGTGGTGAAGCTGTCGTTGCGGGCGTCGATCTCTGCCTTGATTCCCTGATGGTTGTTCATCAGCAGTTCCACTGAGGAAACGTCTCTAGAACCACAAAAATCTCCCATCAGTTTTATTATCTGATCTCGTTGAGGAAGCGGTGTGCGGTGGAAGGCAAACCTACCTGGGTTTCTCCTGGGCTTCGATGAGCCGGATCACGTCGTCCATCCAGAGCATCAGGTCCCGCACCATGCTGAAGAATCGGAACTTGTCTCCGGTGTCGAGGAGGCGGATCCTGCGTCCATCGCAGGCCTCCAGCAGGGTCCTCCAAGCCTCCAGCACCTCAGCCTCCCGGCGCTGGATGTCGTCAGCTTTGTCTCCGGCATATGCAGACTGTAGGCGCGCGGCGTCCTCCTGAAGCTGCCTCACCTGCAGGGACAGAGGCCAGATGTTCCACAGAATATCCTGACTAAATGGCAGATAATCTGCAGGCTGCCGGAACTTTGCAGTAGTCTCACCTGTGTTCCCAGCGCCTGGATGTCGTGTTCGAAGGTGTTGTGCATCCTCTGTAGCGTCTCCACCGTGTTCTGGTCCCGGCCGACCTCTTCCGGCAGCTTCTTCTGCTTGTCGGCGATGCGTGACAGGATCTCCTTGGCATCGTGGTAGAATTTGTGGAGCTCGAAGGAGGCGGCCAGAATCTGTGTCCGAGTGTCGATGAGCTCGAGCAGGTCAGCCCAGGCCTCGTTCAGTCCGTCCTTCCACTCCGCCACCGTGGCAGCATCTCCGTGCCCGCTGTTGATTAACTCGTCTGCCAGCCGGTTCACGCCGTCCACCCGCTCCTGTCCGATGTTCCCAGTGTCCCGTGCAAACTCCCGGAAACGTTCCTGCAGCATCTGAAACCACAAAGGATTGCTCAGCCCTGCTGGTGATACGCAGCCGTCTCTCCGGTCCAGGAAATAAAGGGATCACAGCAGTCAGTCACACACACACACCCACCGTGACATGTTCGTAATCCTGACCCAGCTCGTGCGACCCGGCCACCACCTCTCGCTCTGCAATCCATTGCTCCAGGTCGTCCACCTCCCTGTTCAGTTGGAAAAGGCGGAGCCTCTCATCCAGCTTTCCCCGCCTCTCCTCAGACAGGTCCTTCAGGCCGGCGTACAGCTTGTCCACCTGAGACTGCCGCATGCTGATCCGCTCGCTGACAGACAGGGAAACGTGTAAGAGCAGGGGTTCCTTGTAATATGCCACCTACATAAGCACATGCTGCTTCTCTGTACACCTTTAGCCTCTCTCCTACTCCTCTGTTCATCTATTTCTGCATCATCAAGTCGTCTTTTGTCATCTTCAGTGTGAAAACCTCTGTAGAAAGTAAACCGCCTGTGATCGGCCACTTTTTCAGATCTCATCCCTTTATACAGTGCTGTTTTCTTCAGGGTTGTGGCTAGTTTAATTAGCAAAGCATCGTCAGGCTAATCACTGCTTTCCTCAAGAGCAGCCATCTGTCACTAACTGACAAAACTAGACAACACTCAGCAGTAGATGAGAACCGATTGTGAATCTAAAGTCTGAAATCAATGACTGAGCTTCTCACATCTCTAAAGGAAAGCCCAGACACACTACGGAAAAAAACAATTTCTGCCCTCTTGTATCCGGGATCTCATTCCTTTGGTCAGGACCCAAACTCATGACGATAGATGAGGGTAGGATGCTGTAAGTGTTTCAGAAATTGTATTTATCTTTTTTCAGTAACCTACTAGGATCCTGTTTTGATATATTATAATTACTAGGGATGCACAATATAATCGGCCCCCTATCGGTATCGGCCGTAAAACTGAATATCGGACATCAGCCACGCCACCGATATTTAACCCGATATTGGATCAGCTTCTAACCCTTCTTCCTCAAAAACTTATTTTTTACAGACTTAAAAACTTCTAAAGACGAGGGAAAAAATATTGATACATTGAAATATCACAATATCTTCATATGCTGATATATTGCCATTTAAAAACACCATATCAATCTCTGTTACTAATGAAATATTGCTATATGTCATCGTTATGCTACGAAATCCCCCGAAAATTCACGAAATTTTGCCATATTTTTATATGTTGATATATTGACGCGGTATCGATCTATTTTACTAACAAAATCTCACCAGAATTTGCAAAATATCACCAGAGTTTGTAACAGAACGATGAAATTTCACGAGATTTTGAAAGTAAAATAGATCGATACCGCGTTTTTAAAAATCTATTTGATATCAGCATATGAAAATATATTTGAGTATATTATCTTTCAAAGTGTCAGAAATGGATAACAAAACTGCTATTTTCAATGACTACTTATTTTTGTCCAGCTTTAACATCAGTATCGATATCGGTTATCGGCTACATGAGTTTTAAAATATCGGCATATCGGATATCGGCCAAATCCCAATATCGTGCATCCCTAATAATTACGCTTAATAATATGTAAAAATTTTAGTATTTAATGCCGCTGGTGCAATAAATAAAACTTAATGATGATTAACGATAAATTAATCATCAATCAACCACGTTAGACGAGGTCATTAATCCATATTTTGCATCCATAATAGAGAGGAGCTATGGGGGTGTGGAAGAGGAGTATCTACTCTGGGGTGCCGTACTGAATCTGCAATTAAGTGTATTTACCCTTAATGTGTGTAGGTAAATGAAATAGTTTGCCAAAGGAATGAGTATTTTTACTCTAAAAATAAGATAATTAGATAATATGACAATGTAAATAAAGTGTAAATTGTCTTGTTCCATTGAAAATGTCTCTTTTACCTCCTTAATTCAAGAACAAATGCACTCATTTTAAGAAAACATGATTTATCAAGATTTCAATTTTTTTCCAGTGATGGCTGCTTTATGTTCCTCAGGTTTCTACGTGAACTTGGTGACAATGCAGGACTATAGCTACAGAAGGACAAACTGATAGTAAGGCTGGGAACCTTTCAGGGTGTCCGTCGGCCACAAGTCCTCGGCTGGTCTTGGACAGCTGGTGGACGGTCTCTGCATAGTCCTCCACAGCCTGCTCCATGATCTGATGCTTCTTTAGCATGGTGACAGCGCTCTGCTCATCCTAACCAGAACAAACTCTGGTTTATATATGACTCACATGAATGCGGGTAAATCATAGACTGATTAACCCCCCCACACACCTTAGCTTTTTCCTCTGACATCATGTAGAGTTCCTGTTCGCTCATCCATGCCTCAGCCTCTGCGGCGTCGAAGTAGTACTGCTGGGCTTTGTGGGCCTCCTGCAGCCGGCCGTGCCGCTGCTCCACCTCCTCCATCAGCTGCTTCCACAGCTGCTGCAGTTCCACCAGGCGCTGTCGGATCACATCAGCATTGGAGGACTTGTCCTTCAAGAGGCTCTGGCTGCGCTCCATGATGTCATTGATGCGAGGCTGATGTCCTTGGATTTCCTTCTGGAGCGTCTGAGGACACATCAGACAGAGGAGGTTAGCAAGCAGTCGGGAGGCTCCTGAACCTCATAGTAGAAGAAAAAGTCACCTGGTTCTTCTTTATAAGCAGCTGGACTGTCTGCAGGTTGTGTCCATGGTCCTTGGATGTAGCTACAGGGATCCGTTCCTGAGCCCAGAGCTGGAGAATGAAAGCATCAAGTTACGTACGAGTCTTTAATGAAGGACAGACGTGCTGTCCTGGAGATAGAAGACGTGTTTGTTTTTGGGGCCTACTGTTGTTGTGGGATCACAAATGAGGGAGTTACTGTCATAAATGCGAGGTCACTGTTATTAAAAGGGGTGATAAATGTGATAAATGGAGGGGCTGCTATTAGAAAAAGGTGTTAACTGTCAGTAGGAGCAATTTTAATCCTCAATCTTAATGTCAATGTCTGCAAACCAAACTGAGAATGTGCTGCCGGGGGGTGAGAGATTCTGGTTCATTTCATATACGTACGATCTCATCCTCCACGTCGCGGTTGAACTGATGGACCTCTCTGGATGCCACCAGGAAGTCCCTGCGACGCCGCAGCGGCTCCAGAAGCTCCTGGAACTTCTTTTCCACCACCTGCCTTCGTCCGTCCACCTCATCCGTGTCCTTCACCTCCTGACCGAGCGCCTTCACTTGACTCTGCAACTCCACCACCTCCCTCTGACGCACATCCACCTGGTTCTCTAGCATCTGAGCGGTCAGATATCAATCAGGTGTCAGATATCGATCCGTGAACCTCGCTCAGAACCAGACAGTATTTACATGGCGCAGTTTTACCTGCTGTTTCTTCAACAGGATGTTGACGGATGTCAGGTCTTTGCCGTAATCGTCGGACTGGATCTGCCCTTCCAGGCTGCCCAGCCACTTGTCCAGGTCAGCACAGCTCTGCGTAAACAGCTCGGCCTTGTTGGCATCAAACAGACACTGAGCTTTGGTCTGCGTCGTGGACTCCAGGTTTTCCCACAAGGTGTTGAGCGAGGAAAGCTTTTCCTTCACCACAGCCTCTGTATCTGGCTTCTCTGACACCAGCAGCATCCCATCCTGACGTAATTAAGGAGTTAGGAATTAATGTAATGATGAGTTTGTTCCATGATAATCCTTGTACTTCAATATCAGCAGAAAATAGGATAAACCAGAAAATATAAAGACTTACTTGTCAGTAATGAAATTCAAGAGGTTATTATAAGAATTTGGAAACTGGACTTGAAAGACACATTTTTAAGTTGACCAATCTGGGTTAAATGAGCCAATAATCCTGGACTAAATAATGATATTTCCATAAGAAGAATCCCTTTAGCCAAAGATTCCTTAAAGGTATTGTGGAGGATTTTCACAAATAAAAAAAACAACCCTCTCCACTTAAAAAAAAATGCATATGCACAACCCTGTACCGCAATCGAGAGGGAACGCCTATTAAACGTGTGCGAGAGCATGCACAAGCCCATTTCTCCTCGTGCACGCTCTGTTTAAAAGTTGCTGTTCTCATAAGTTATACAAGCTTACTGAGCCCAAACGTTATGCTACGTTCACACCGGACGCAGCAGGCGCGGCAGAAGCAGCGAGTTTACATGCAAAGTCAATGGTTGATGCGCGTCAAGGTGCAGCAAAAGGTCCCGCAGCACGTTTTGAGCAGCAGGCGCAGCGTGTCTGAGCAGCTGAAGCAGCGCGTCAGGCGCGTTTAAGCATCTGACGTGCGTGACGCGCCGCAAACGCACTGCTGCTCGAAATGGAAAAATGTAACTTTTGCTGCTCGACGCGCCGCGTCAACCAATCAGAGAAGCTGATCTGGGAGCTGACAGCGAGACAGACACATCGCTGATGATACAGAGCACTGTGATAGCTCCTCTGAAACAGTAGCCTCGTGAGACCATCCTGATCTTGCGAGCTTTCAAGATTTCACTCGCTAATCAGTCTGGAGACTCTCCGTTGAAGAAAATTTGGAGCCGTTCACCAAACGAACGTCCAATCAGCGTTGGCTTTGAGGCGGGTTGAGGTGTGACGCAACGAGAAGCGCGACAGTTCAGTCTAAAGAACATGGCGGCTTCAGCCGATGAAACTAGCGTTAGCGAGGCTATCGAGCAAGTTTTATCGGAATTACAGAGTATTTCTTCACTGAAAGAAGAGCAAAACACTGCTCTGGAGGCTTTTCTCAGAGGAAAAGATGTTTTTGCTCTTCTCCCGACTGGTTTCGGCAAGAGTTTGATCTATCAATTGGCTCCTCTTTGTCGTCGCTCTGTTACGTCATATGCTTCGTTGATCTGATTGGTTTATTTGGCCCGTCTATCACCAACATAGGCCAATCAGCTAACCAGTATTTTCCCCCCTTCCCAAAATTACTTCTACGGAAGGTTTCCAGATGGATATGCGGAGCAGTTTATTGACGCCTAAATTAACTTAAAGGAATAGTACACCCAAAACATGATTAGCCTTCATTTTCTACTCACCCCCATGCTGAACAACACTCTGGAGTACTTTTTTGATATCTCAAATGCATCTGGAGATCTGGGAGGCTTCTTACTGTCTGCTGACATTCAAATAATGGAGGTCTATGGCACCCGAGGCAGAAATGTCCATAAAAGTCCACAAAAAACGTGTCAATATTCCTCCATACTGCTCGTCCAATGTATTACAAGTGTCCTGAGTGGGTAGCGTCCATAATTTACTCGAAACAAAGTCATTTAGAAGGTTTTTAGAGCATAAACAGTAGTGTATAGGATTTCCTAAAAGCGCGCGCCTGCGAGTTCACGAGCCTACGGAAACCGCGGCAGACCAAACCAGATGAAAGTGCGCATTCAGCTCGGCAAAGAACTCATGCTCTTCCTCAACACTGAAGTCCTCAGACATTTTTCTTTTGTTGTTTCTTTCTTTGCACAGGTAAACAGCAAATTTCTTCTTCTACGCTTGCATTATCAAGAGCAGACGCTGAATGTGCAGATATCAAAAAGTACTCCAGAGTGTTGTTCAGCATGGGGGTGAGTAGAAAATGAAGGCTAATCATGTTTTGGGTGTACTATTCCTTTAAAATGCAGAAATCTGCCGGCAGAATATGTTCGCTTTTATTATCCTGGTGCCTGCAGTTTAGATTATTTAGATGAAAAACACCTACCAGCCGCCGTGGTGAACCACGAGGAGGCGACCCGGCCAGAGGCTGCTGTTGAATGGGATTCCTACTGACAGCGCACCGCTGGTATGTGGGGGTCTGAGCGGCTCCGACAGAAATAATATTGGAAGGTGGGATTGTAATCTGGATGAACTGACTGCAATGATTTTCAGTTTTCAGGTGGATTTTCTCACTTAAAAAAAAAATTAAATCTACTTTATTCCCACTGATCACAGCAAATATAGCTGCAAGGCAGTGAAAGGATAGAGTAGCTCCGCCCAACGCGCTTCAGACACACTTTTGCACCATGCAGCCAGAGCAGCAAAGCTGCTTCAGCCGCACGTCAGAACTAACTGGTACAATCAGCAAAAATCAAGCAGCAGACGCGTTTTTGCTGCTCTTGCTGCGTCCGGTGTAATCCCTCAATCACTGTATAGAGAGGGGAATATATAGTGGACTTTATAGTGAACAGATGATCACTACTTTTTGCTCCTCGTTGGTCACTGTACTCCTCCTCCACTGAGCGCCGCCTACGCCATCTTTGTTATTATTGGCCACTGTCGGGTAGCGACAGCCTATAAAGACAGCAATTGCTGAAGCAGCCAATCCCATAATGCTTTGCGAGGAGAGCTCTCTGCGCAAAGCATTCCGGGATGTATCGGCCTCTTCTAAAGCCTTTCTTTTCTTCTCATACCCTTTGTAGAAACTTTTTCACTTACAACCCTCGGCCATTTTCAAAGAACCATGGTAGAAAAGGTGAGCTTCAGTGAATGAAACCGTAGCTCACCACTGAAAATGCATATGTGCAGAAAAAGATAGCTAACTGGTTGCGCACATAGGATGGCCTTACGTCAATATATCACCAGAATGATTGACAATCAGGAGGACCACTTACTGAGATGATCCACCCGCAAATAAAAAGATCGTCCTCTACACCTTTAACAGAAGCGTCAGTTGGTGGTACAGTCACCAGAAAGTCAATTAAAACTCCTCTGAGTTGGGAGTCATCCAGAAAGGCACAACATTAGGACAGTTTCAAAGATCCTAACAAGTAAACCCCCCAGTACCTTCTGGATCTTGTCTAGCCACTCTTTGTTGGACTGCAGCTCAGCCATGAAGGCCTGGTGCTTCAGCCACTTGCTATGCAGGTTCCTGGCCTCGTCATAGGTCATGTCCTGGGCCGTCAGCATCTTCTCACTCATCCATAAAGACAGCTGCAAAGAGACACAACAGAAATGTATCCTCTGGGAGCCGGAACCTTTCCGCTTGTCTAAGACTTTGAAGGAAAAGAGCTACTTCTCTGGGAATGTTGGATTAAAATATGTCAATAAGGAACCTACCTCCTGGCAGTCTTGCAGAAACTTCTGAAGATCGCGGTTGTCCTTCAGCCTCATCAGCAACTCCACCGCAGCCTCCCTGTTCTTCTTATGCCTGGAAGACACAGAGACCCTTTAGACGTAGAACACCAAAGCAGCATCCTCTGCAGACTTTACGACAAAGATCCTGTGCACTAGTTTAATAAACTGGATTTTAAGGATTAACCTGTCATCGATGGAGGCCACCTTCTCAAGGATGCGCTCAGCATTGATGTTCCCATCACTCGCCAGCCTTCTGCCTGCCTCCAACACACCGTTGATCTTCTCCTCATTGGCATCCATCGTTGTCATGAAGTCCTCCTGCTTCTTGATTGCAGCCTCAGCGCCCTCCAGCGTGGTTGGCATCTCTGTATGAGCCAGAACATACTCCTGCAGAGAGGATTAGAACTACTTTAGAAGATCACTTAGAACATGAGATCATCTAGAGAACAATTATTGACAGAATGATTGTTTCTGAAGGAACGAGGTCTTTAGGGGTTTCTGAGAAACCGACGACTGGTTTTCAGAAACTAATTTCTTCTAGAGACCAGAAATCACAGAGTTTCTTTGCTCACAGGTCCAGGTTCTTGGGTTTTGACTTACTTGGTTGTTGAGGAAAGCCTCCGCCTGCTTGGTGTCCCTTAGGAACAGCTGGTAAGCGTAAGACTGGGACAGCAGATTCTGACGATTCTCCCACATTTTGAGCAGGTCGTTCCAGCCCGTGTCCAGTGCCTGCAGTCGCTGCCGCAAGAACATGTACTGCGCATCCGCTTGGCCCTGCGTCACCATCTCCCCCATGTCTCGCATCTTCTGATAGTCCTCTTCGTAGTTATTGATCTCATTTTTTATACCTTCATGTTGTGCCATCAGCTTCTCGGCCTCGGACAATGTGTTGGGCATGTCTTCGGACGCGATGGCTGTCTGAGTACGAGACAGCCAGGACTGGAAGTCGTCGAGCTCACGCAGGAACTGCTGAAGCTTCCGGGCTTCGCCCAGGGACTCCTCTCGCGTTTTCAGGGTATTCTTCATTTCCTCCCAGACGGCAGTAATCTCAGCCAGCCGGTCTGTGATGGCTTTAGCCTGGTCAGGGTGCTCCTCGGCCAGCCTTTGGGCTTCACCTTGCAGATCACTAAGCTTGTCTTCGATTGCCACCAAGTCTCGCTCCATGCCGGTCAATTTCCTCTGCAGAGCCATGACCCCGGTGAGGTCATTTCCCAGTTCTTGGGTAGACTCTATTAGTTTGGTCTTTTCTTTGATCCAAGACTTGGTCTCATTGCATTCAAGGTGGTAGTTCTGTACACCCAGGGCGGAGTTCAGGGACTCCTTCTTCTGGTCCACCAGGTCTCGGAACTGGCTCCACCTGAAGAGAAAGGGCAGGTTATTTAGGGTCTACGCATGTGTCCAGATAAAAGTCTGAGTCTCTAATTCCTAACAGTTCTTTTGCACCTATTATTTAGTTTATCCTGGTGGGTCTTGATGTCCTTCTCGCTTGGATGGCCACTGTGAATCAGCTGTCGGGCGATCTGGTTCACCACAGCAACCCGAGACGCCTGGCTGTTCATCTCTGGCTCCAGATTCTCAAACCTGTAGAGTGATCAGAGATCCACATCAAATCTGTAGAGCCTGACAGAGATCCAGGATACACGCAGCCTTTGGGTCGTTACCTGTGCTGTATCACCTCCAGGTCCTCCAGCTTTTCAGGAATCTCCATGCTGTTCAACCACTGCTCCTTCTCGTCAATCCAAACCTCGCAGGCATTGGCCTCACTCATCATTTTGTAAAGAGCCAGCGCATCCTGCAGGGCTTGCTTCCTCAGCTTCGTCAGCTCTGACACTTCCTTGTAGCGCTCCTCGATACCAGCCAATCGTCCTTGCACATCCTCTGACTCCATCTCCTCTTTGGGCAGCAGGGCAGCCTGTTCATGCAGAGAGTCGATGACCGTACGGTAGCTTTCAACCTCCGCCGCTGCGTCCTTGTGCTTCCTGACCAGAGCCTGGGTGGAGAATTCATCGTGGCCTGTCTCTCCACTGGAGACAATACGCAGAGCATCCAGTGTCCAGGCATCAACATCGTCTGCATCAGCCTGAAACTGGTGCATAGCCAGAGCTTCTTCCAGTCTCTTCTTTCTTGCTGCCGCAAGCTGCTCCAGAGCTGCCCACTGAGCCTGCAGGTCTGAGATACGCTCCTGGATCTTTGTGGCGGCAAAGTGACCAGCATCAACCATGGCCTGGCCCTCTGCGATGGTGTGTTGCAGGTGTCCAGCTCGTCCACTCATCTCATCTTCAAGTGCCCTCTGTTGGCTCAGGAGTCGCACCGCCCCGGTCAGGTCCTTACCATGCTCCATGGAGGACAGGATCTGTTCCTTCTCCCAGATCCAGCCCTCTTCCTCCGCCATCTCCCAGAAGAACTTCCACAGTCGCCGAGACTCTTCAAGACGGGCACGACGTTCGGCAGCCAGCTGTGACAACTCCTGGTAGCAGAACTCCAAGTGGGCCACCCGGTCCTGGATGACCTGAGGATCGCAGGGCTTGTAGCCTGGAGAGGAAACAACATGTTTTTTTATCAGGACTCTTGTTTAAGTTAATGAAATTTAAAGGAGAAACTGCCCTTCTTCAGCTGGTGCTCACTTGAAGAGGAAAACAGTTCACCAGACCATTAAGCAAAGCAAAGATAGTTCATCTTACAGGCAAACGTTGAAGTAAAGCTGTGGCGCATATGTATGGTTCTATGGAGTTAAGTTTGTTCCTTTATTGTTAAATGGAGATTTGAAAATTAATTCTATCCTGAAATGACACTTTGTAAAATATTTTCAGAGTAACTTCTCTGTTTGCTGAGGTTTTATTTACATTTTTCTTTAAATTGATTTCTATATATTTCCAATGTTTTATTTTATTTTTTTTCCTGGAGAGATTTTATATTTTCTAATGAAATATTTTTAAACTTTAGTTTTATGAATTGCATGCTTAACAAATGACATTTTTCAGATCAAATTCTCTTCACTTGTGGGAGCGAGCTTTACTCTGGAGAGATGAGCAAAGGTGTTTCTATTGGACGATCGCAGCAACATCTCATTGGTCAATGTGCGCATTAGCAAACGTTTGTATTGGTAAAGTGAAGAGAATGTGATCTGCAAAAAAATTTGGGAAAAATGCAATTTATAAAACTCAATCTGGAAAAAAAAAAAGTTTAAAAAGTTTTTTTTTATTTTTTATATGAAATCACTTAAAACAATTTAAATATTATCACACCGGCAGCACTTCTGAATTTCAGCTGGTTGTCATGGAGACATGACCTCTCCAAATTCTGCAGCTTTTGGTCCAGAGCAGGGGTCACCAACCTTTTTAAGGCTGAGGGCCACTTCAAGGGTACCCAGGCGTAGGAAGGGCGACCATTACTGACCCATGAGCTGCAAGGGTTAGCGTTAGCCTAAACTTTGTTCATTATCAACATATTTTTATTGTTTCTGTTCATTTCTAAGTTTATTTAGACATTGTCATTTTGAAATCTCTATAAATGATTAAAAAGAAGAGCAACAGAATAAAATAGAATTTCAAACTTAGCCCACTGGTGGGTTGTTCTTTATTTAGAAGACTCTGAGGGCCCCCCATGTGGTCCTTGAGGGCATCGCGTTGGTGACCCCTGGTCCAGAGTGACAAAACAACTGGTATAAAAGTAACCGTACTAAATAAAAATGAAATTATGCATCAATTTAACATGTGGACCTGCACTACAGTGCACATTAAATATATTTAAAAAGCCCTTCGCTCAATTTTTGTGACGAAAAAGTTTAATATCGGCTTTGTCTTTTCTATTTCAACTTACAAATTGTGCTTACCGTATTTTCACGACTATAAGGCGCACTTAAATGTCTTTTTTTTCGCTCAAAATGTGCAGTGCGCCCTATGGTGCGGTGCGCCCTATGTGTGTTGTAACTGCCACTTTTGAGACCACCTCATTGAGGAGATGATGAAAGAGTGGCTGAATGTAAGGAGACCAGGTGTTTTTTTTTTTCCACTCATCACCATCGCTGTTAATATGTAACTCCATGCGTGCCCATCTCACAGCTGATGTGAAAAACATGGGGAAACAAATTAACCCTGTGCTCGCTGTTCAACCGCTCGACATCGGTGTGAACCGGACCCAGCAGGTGCAGCAGAAGCAGCGAGTTTACATGCAAAGTCAATGGTTGACGCGTGTATAGGCGCAGCAAAAGGTCCTGCAGCGCGTTTTGAGCAGCAGGAGCGTTTAAGCATCTGCCAACGCGCTGCTGCTGCTCGAGATGGAAAAATTGAAGTTTTGCTGCTGGACGCGCCGCATCAACCAATCAGAGAAGCTGATCTGGGAGCTGACAGCGAGACAGACACAGCGCTCTGATGACATATGATATTAACGCAAATGGAAAAGGCTGGATGGATGAGGAGATGATGAAAGCGTAGCTGAGGGAGGTGTAGCCTATGTGAGGAGACCAGGTGGTTTTTTCCACGCATCACCATCTCACAGCCGATGTGAAAAAAAAGGTGAATCAAATGGATACTGTGCTCGCCGTTATCCCGGGGGTCTGACAAAGGAGCTTCCACCGCTCGACATCGGTGTGAAGCGGCCGTTCAAAGTAAGGCTGCGAGCGGCGTGGGAGCGATGGATGGCCGACAGAGACCACAGTTTCAGGATAAGTGGAAGGCAGCGCCGGGCAAGTTACGCCACCGTTTGCGGATGGATTGTAGATGCTTGGACTAACGTGTCTGCTGGCTCTATTGTTCAAGCTTTTGCAAAAGCCGGCATTATTTCTGAGGAGCTGCGCTGCACGGAAAGTGACTCTGACAGCGAAGAAGGGGAAATTGGCATGTCTGATTTAGCGCAGCTGTTTAATTCAGAAACAGAGGATGATGACTTTGATGGGTTTGATTAATACTTTGTAATAAATACATGAATAAAGCACAATCATACTCAGTTTTGCTCCCGCTCTATTTTTCTACCTGAAAACTTAATTCAACAGCAGCCTCTGGGCCGGGTCTCCTCCTCTTCACCGCGGTGGCTGGCAGGTGTTTTTTCATCTAAATAATCTAAATCTTGCAGCTATATTTGCTGTGATCAGTGGGAATAAAGTAGTTTTAATATGTTTTTAAGTGAGAAAGTCCAGCTGAAAACTTAATAATTGCAGTCAGTTCATCCAGATTATCTATTTCTGTCGGAGGCGCTCAGACCCCCACATACCAGCGGTGCACCGACAGGAGAAATCCTTTCATCAGCAGCCTCTAGGCTGGGCAGCGTCCGGGTTCACGCGGTGGATGGCAGGTGTTTTTCATCTAAATAATTTAAACTGCAGGCACCCATAAAAGCGAACATATTCCATCGGCAGGTTTCAGGATTTTAAGTTAATTTAGGAGTGATCACAGCGCTGTGTCATCTGCGATGTGTCTGTCTCACGGCCAGCTGCCAGGTTTGATTAATACTTTTTAATAAATACATGAATAAAGCACAGTCAGACTCAGTTTTGCCCCCGCTGTATTTTTAAATACGCAGTAGAGGTATTTAAAGGTAGTAGAGGACATGAACCTGTATATTAAAAACGCGCCCTATAGTCCGGTGCGCCTTATGTGTGTGTTAAATACAGAAATGGGACACATAACTGAGACTGTGCCTTTTAGTACGGTGCGCCTTATGGTCGTGAAAATACGGTATTTTAAATGTCTACCATTTTATTTGCTAGTAACTATAAAGGAAAAACATTCTCTAAAATTTTTAGAGGGAACAGTCAGGATGGAGGTGTGTGCTGCTCACCACTGTCAGTCACCGAGTGCTTGTTGGCGTTGTTGATGACGGCCTTCACTCTGTCGGCCTGGATGGCGATGTCGGCTTCCACCAGTGCATGTTTCTGTAGCAGGTCTTCCACTCCCAACAGATGCTTCCCGTAATCCTGAGACAGCAGCAGCATCTGGAAAACAACTTTCATTGTCAGAGGTGTCATATTTCAGGTGTGTAGATAAAGACGGGTTCCTCGAAAATACCTTCATCTCATCCATCCAGTCCATGATGTAGAGCATCTCCTGAAAGACTCTCTGTAGGCCCAGGTTCATCTCCAGTCTCTGTCTGCGGGCCTTTAGCAGCTCCAACAGGTACTCCCAGAGCCGGATCACGTTGTCCTTCCTGGCTATGATGCGTTTAATGTCGTGGTAATTCTCCACCTCCAGCTCCTTCGCCACGGCGACCACAGCCTGGACGCGTTCCTCATACGCTGCGATGTCTGTCTCGATGGCCTCGTGCTTTTTGGTGGCGGCCTCCACGGCTTGGAGGTCGAAGCCAAAGTTATCCTGCAGACAGAAAGGAGGACAGCTGAAGGAAGCAGGACAGGTGAATATAGGATGAGTTGAAACAGACCTCTGCTCAGCTCACCTGAGACACCAGCCTCTGGTTTTCACTGAGCCAGGTCTCCCTCATGGCCGCCTTGCGGTCAAAGCGTCTAGCGAGCTGCTCTAGTTTTTCCTGACGAATCAGCTCCGTCCGCAGAGCCAGCTCCCTCTCATGCTCTGCTTTTTCCAGTCTTTCCCAGGCCTGGCGGGAAGAGCAGAGAGAAAATAAAACATAGCTGATTCTCCAATTTGGCGCAAATATTTCAGATGAATAAAGAAACTGCAGAGGGACAGGTCTCACCTTGTTGATGTCTGAGATAAGTTTTCCCTCGCGGGGCATGTAGACCTTCTGGTTGTTGGCTCTCATCTTACTCTGAATGGTGAAGAGCAGAACCTCCAGGTTTCCCTTCTCTGTGAACCTGAAGGAGGACAAACAAACAGAATCAGACACATGAACAGGTTAAATATCGTAGCTCAAATATGAAAGAGCTGCTGAGACAGGATAGTGAACAAAAGAAGAGACAGAAGACATGAATACATGGGTGGAGAAGAGATCAAAAATATGGCTTTTACTTGGGAGGTTTCTCCACTGTTCGGTAGGTGTTAAAAGCCTGTAGTTGCTGCTGGACTCCCACCAGAGAGTTGGCAAACTTTCTGTTGTTAAGGATGATGATGGTCTGTTCGATCCACTCCAGCAGGTCAGAAGCCAGTGACTCGTACTTCTCAACCATCTTCTCAGTCTCAATGGCGTTATCCAACACCTGGACAACAAAGAATCAGTAGGACCCAGATGAACACGCAGCAGACCAGAAAGTCATTCACATAAACGCCTTGGAGAAAAAAATCTGAACTACGAAGTTTAGAAGGAAACTAATGGCTGTAGAACAGGGGTCACCAACGCGGTGCCCGCGGGCACCAAGGGGCCAAGACTTCCTGTCCCCGGAAATGTCCTCGTTGTAACGTTTTATGAATGATGGGGAAATGCAGGGTGTAGACTGTTATTACGGTAGAAAAGCGCATGAGCAGAAACAGCTGTTACGGTAGCATTTTGCACTGTTGTTAACATAAAGAAGATTAAAGGGGAACTTCGTTTTTTTTACATTGGGCCCTTGATTTTACGTTATTCCATCATGTTCTACTCACCCATATGAGTTTTGTGTCATTTGGAGCCGTTCTGAAGATATTCCCTTAGGTTATATCTAAGTAACGACACCCATTTCGTCTGATTTGAAGAAGGTGGGGGGGCTGATTGACCTCTAGAAATATTACTTTATATCTTTAAAACGATAACGAAAATTTTTGCTGCACAAACGTTTGACACTAATTTTGTCTGATTTGAAGAAGGTGGGGGGGGCAACTTCACTCAGGTGCTTTAGAACTGATTGGTGACCTTTAGTTTGTATAAGAAATTTAGTTAGTGATAAGTTATTTTTCTGATTTACGTTTGTGATTTATGATCATAGGTGTGCTTTTCTACCACTCAGTTTGAATATAAGAACATTTCTTATGAAAAATTGCAGTCATTTTTTCTTAAAATAAGTGCATTTCTTCTTGGATTAAGGAGGTAAAAAACATTTTGCCAATGGAACAAGACATATATACTTAAAATAAGACCAATCAAGTGCATATTATCTAATTATCTTGTTTTTAGAGTAAAAATACTAATTCCATTGGCAAGCTATCTCATTTACCCATTCATATTAAGGGTATATACACTTATTTTAAGATATTTTTTAATTATTTCAAGATCATTTTTTCAGTGAGGAATCACTAACAGGAAAACTCAGACAGAGACAACTACCTATCTAATGTTCATTTATTATGTTGTTTTTGCTTCTAGCTCCAAATATTATATCCACTCTGGGTCTCTGAGGGAGACCCTTAACCCCACACTGCTCTCCGGGCGCCCAGCGATGGCAGCCCACTGCTCCCCAAGGGGCTGGGTTAAATGCAGGGAGTGAATTCCGTTGCTCTGTACTTGTGACAGTGTAATGACAATAAAACGCCGTGACTGTCCTCATAAAGGAATAGTACACCCAAAACATGATTAGCCTTCATTTTCTACTCACCCCCATGCTGAACAACACTCTGGAGTACTTTTTTGATATCTCAAATGCATCTGGAGATCTGGGAGGCTTCTTGCTGTCTGCTGACATTCAAATAATGGAGGTCTATGGCGCCCGAGGCAGAAAGGTCCATAAAAGTCCACAAAAACGTGTCAATATTCCTCCATACTGCTCGTCCAATGTATTCCAAGTGTCCTGAGTGGGTAGCGTCCAGAATTTACTTGAAACGAAGTCATTTAGAATGTTTTTAGAGCATAAACAGTAGTGTATAGGATTTCCTAAAAGCGCGTTCACGAGTCTACGGAAACCGCGGCAGACCAAACCAGACGAAAGTGCGCATATATCGACAGCAAATTTAGAAGATATCGACAGCAAATTAATTTTAAAAGAGGAACAGAGAAACGCGATCAAGGCTCATCTTCTTATTCTAGGCGTGAAACTGCACGCTTTGATTTTTGTGGACAACAACTATGCCTGGCTTAACATACGTCACGCACTCCGTTGCTCTTATTGGTTGTAGGTCTATCCAATTGGGTGCAGAGGCATTTTTTTTCCTGATTCGTTCGAAACACGCCCCATAATCACAGCTCTATGGAGCAGTATCAGACCCATATTCTGACTAGAATTGAGTCGGACTACGTCAGGCTACTAGGACCCCACTAGGTACCCTCAGCATCTTCTTAAAACTGCACAATTCACCGGTGGGTTTGAAATATTTAATATACTCGAGTGCAAAATGTAAAATCTACTTCTGTAGAATGAGTGCATAATAATTTAATATGATACAGTGCCATCACTACTCTTTCTTTAGCTTTCATGATCTGTAAACTAAATGTAAATATTGAACTGGTCTTCTAAAAAGTTCTTTGGACCTTACATATGGAGAGCCATTTCATTCAACTTTACATAAATAAATACTGTCATCAGAAATATTCCTTCAAATAAATAAAATTAACCCGTAAAATACCACAACATAATAAAAACCTATTTTTCGGGTTAATTTTATAACTTTTTATTTATGTAATGAAGGATTTATATATCTATTTGTTACCTATTTCAAGATATAAGATTTTTGCTAAGCAAATTTTTTTGTTTCAAATTTCTTTTAATAATTTCAATATTTATTTATCTATAAATGTAATCTTTTATCTATCTATCTATCTATCTATCTATCTATCTATCTATCTATCTATCTATCTATCTATCTGATAATGGTGTTATATTTTGTGACCCTTTTATTTTGTAAAGCTATTCTAAGTATTTCAAGGACTTTTATTTATTTTTTGGTCCTGTTTTATTACACTCAAATGAGGGGGCGGAGTTTTGTCTGCAGGGCAGCTTGGTCTGGTCAGAGCTTTAACTCTGTTACAACGCCGCCACTGAATGTCTTTGAAGCCATGGTAAATATCAGCAGGTGTGGTCACTGTGGCGGTCTGATTGAAGTTTGGTGACAAACAAGCCAACGTAATAAAATCGTTGCAGACGGAGCTCTGCTGAAGCTGTTCATTAACAGTAGGTGGTTTTATGGCTACTTTCTCAGCAACAGGTGAGCTTTCGGTGTTCCTGACTAGTTTGTCTACAGCAGCAGATTATACCAGAGGTAAGAGTTCTGACTGGCGCAGATTTTTAAATGGACAGGTTGGAGAAGGGAACAGAGGGGATGAGGAAGTAATGGGCAGAGATATGTGACAGATGGAGGTAGACTTCACAAAGACTGGCTGGATGTGCTCTCTTCGTCCTCTGGCATGGGAGCTGGCTCGGAGCTCGTCTGCCTGGCTGTGTGTTTCCTGGATGGGGCCGCCTTTTACAGCTGCTTTTTGTGTCTCTGCTTCTGTCTCCTTGAACCCCAGTCGGCCTCAGCAGATGGCCGCTCACACTGAGCGGCTATCTGCCGCAGGTTTCTTCCTGTTAAAAGGGAGTTTTTCCTCTCCACTGTCGCTACATGCATGCTTAGTGTGAGGGATTGTATTTAAGTCAATGAGTCAATGCAATGAACTGGTTTTCCTTAAATAGAAAACAATGAATCAATTTGACTGGATGATCTGGTGAACTGGAAAGTGCCTTGAGATGACATGTGTTGTGAATTTGGCGCTATATAAATAAACTGAATTGAATTGAAAGAGGATGGAAATGGCCATAGTGAATCCAGGGTGACTTAGAAGAGCAGTGGTAGGGGCACATAGGTGGATTACATCTGGAGTAGAGAATGTAACCTGGAGGAACTCAGTGACTGCAAGGTGGTAGTTGGTGAGAGAGTTGCAAAGAAGTATAAGATGGTGGTGAGCAAACTGACTCTGATGGTGAGGAAGTTAGGTAGGATAAAGAGAGAAAAGGATAAAGTTGTGGAAGCTGAAAGGGGGAACAGCTGTTTGGCTTTGGATGAAATGAGAAACTCTGTTAGGAGGTGTTTCCAGATGCCTGGACGAGTACAGCTAACGCTTTAAGGAGACAGGAAGAAAAATACTTTGTATTTCTTATTGACGGAAAGTTGAAGGGACTTAGTAAGCTAAATATTTGGTTTTTAAAAATATATTTTTTGTTCAATTAGTAAATTATTATATGGATATATTGTTATTAATTTCATTAAAGCAGGATTTTTGCAAGGAATTTCATTCTGACTTAAACTTCTCACCATACTTAAGTGCTAACCTCTTTAACTTATGCTACGTTTAGACCGCAAGTGCTAGAAGCAGCAAAAAAGCTTCTGCTGCTTCATTTTTTTTATCCCTGTCATGTTCAGCATTATGGCAACAGAATGTGAATCTGAGGCTGCTGCTTGTTCACATTAAGGTCAGACGTCCAGTAAAGTGTGTCCAGATGCATCTGATGCTTCTGCTGCTCCTGTGTTCAATGGCAGAGAGCGGCTTTGCTATAGTTGCTGTTATAAGTGGATAAAATGTAGTTTTAATATATTTTAAAGAGAGAAAGTCCACCTGAAAACTTAATCTTTGCAGGCAGTTTATCAAGATTAAGATCCTGCCTTCACATATTACTTTGCTGTCTAAGCTGCTCAGACCCCCGTACACCGGCAGTTTGCGGCGCTGGAAGACGCTTTTCATGGAAGGAATCTAAAATGCATACACATACTTTGCCGGCAGGTTTCAAAATTTTAAGTCAATTTAGGCGTTAATAAACAGTTTCAGAGGTGTGATCATAACGATCTGCATCAGCAGTGCCGTCTCTCTCCCTGCTGTGGCGCGTCGAACAGCAAAAGTTCTATTTTTCCAACCCTAGCATCTGCTGCTTCCGCAGCGCGTTGGCCGTCAGATGCTCAGCTCATGAGGCGCTGCTTTAGTTGCTCAGATGAGCTGCTCCTGCTGCTCCAAATGTGCTGCAGGACCTTTTGCTGCACCAAGATGCACGTCAACTTTTGACTTTACATGTAAACTAGCTGCTTCTGCAGCCTCTAGCTTGAGCAGTCTAGTTCTTAAAATAATTCATGAGGATCAAAATATAGGGCAATTTAAGAAATGGGTCTTCACGTCGTGAAAAAAAACAATATTGGACAAGTTGTTCTTGTTAAAGTGTTAAAGTGTTGTGTAGTTTGTTGATGAAGATTCTCAGTCATCCAGGTCATAGTCATTCCGTAAAAATTCAAAAAAAGTTCCACTGGACTTGGTTTCCAAGATTTGAAGACGTTTCGCCACCTCTCCAGGAAGCTTTCTCAATTCAAATGTCTGGATCCGCAGTGAGTTTGAGTCTTTATATAGACAAGGCCTTGTATTGCTTGGAAACATGCAAATGGCAACCGATGAATGGGTCGTTTGGTTACATTGTTAGCCTGTAATACCTGAAACCTATCAAAGAATTTTTTTGAACTTTTACGGAATGTTGTGTAGTTTATTTTTAGTAAATGCAGAAACAGGTCCCTAATATTATGTTCTTGAAATGTGAGACTGTAAATTAGCAGGTTCATGGGTAAAACACATCTTTGGTTCTTGTAAAAAGGTTCCTGAAAGTACTGGGAGACATTCCAGACTGACCTTCCCAATTCGTTTGCCCTCCACCTTCAGAGCCTTCATCTTGGAGAAGTAGTGGTAATAGGTCACAACGTAGGTGATGACAGACTTCTCGTCGGGATGGTCCACGCTGATGTCTAAAGCACCGACACACCAATATCAGATCACCACAGTTCCTCTGAATCACAACATTATGTACTTACAATGAAATATAAAGGACATATCATACTTCTTTTAACAGGTTAGGACGGGGCTGCTCATTACATTTTTTGCACAAATTCATTGTTGAATGGTAAAGATTTCACCTCCTCAATTTCCTCTTTCTGAGATCCTTTCAGTTTTTTCATGGCCATAGACCATGTGGGCGGAACCACAGTGCTGGTTTTATTGGACCTCGGTGCAGCGTTTGACACTGTTGGTCACTATTTTACTAGAACCCATGGAAAACTGGATTAGCTTTCTGGTTCAAAACTGGACTTGTTTAAATCCTAGATCCAGCTATAGTTAATCCAACTAGGAACCAGGAATAAGGCTCTAAATCTGGGTGTAGTAATGAGCTGAACCTTTAGACGCTCATAAAGACAGGAAAAAAGTCAGCCTTCTATCAGCAAAAGAACATCTCAAGAATTTAAACATTAATACTAATGTTCGAAAAAACTAATTCCTGCTTCATACATCTTTAATAGAATTCATCGGTGCAGCGGTGTCCTCACAGGTCTGCCTAAAAAGTGGATCAGACAGCTGATCCAGAATGCTGCTGCCTGTGTCCTCACAAGAACTAAGGAAGTAGAGCACATCAGCCCAGTTCTAAGAAATTGATCTATAAATATTATGCTCTAATCAAGTGTTAGAAATTTGTGGGTCAGAAGAATCTGAGAAAAAGGATGCTAACAGCACTAGCATCCCAATGGGATTATTCATGCAAATTAGCATCATGTTAAAAGTTTTTGTCCTTTTAATTATAAACATGTATTTTTACATGTATTATTACCAATGTTAACCTGCATATGTAATTTATTACAATAAGTTAGATTTTTGTGCATTTTTGTACAATTTTCGTGAGCAATAACTAATTATATTTACTTGTGTGAATTTTTGACAATACTATACTTTTAGGAGTTATTTTACTGCATAATACTTTTTTTACTTTCAATTAAATAATAGCTAATAAAATATTCACACTCCAGTAAAATATTTGGCTACTTATAAATCGTGAGTAAATTCACTGAATAACAAAGGGGCTTATATAAAAGGGCTCCAAACAAAGACACACAGTCATTGTTTATGTTAAATTATTATTATTTTCTGGTGCAAAAGCTTAGCTTATATCCGGTAATCCTGGGCAGTAAGGATGAAAATTGTCACTTGAGGTAGCTGACATCGTATTAGCATTACTTGAGCAACCTTTTTTTCATAAGTTCAAGAAGCACACTGATTTGGAAAAGTGTATAATAGCAAATCTTCTGCATAGATTTATTATTACAAACTATGTTATCCATTTCTTTCAATTATCTTATTGTAAAATTGTACGTTTTGTTCCATGATATTCAGGGGCGGGTTTAGGAAACTTGGGGCCCTAGGCAAAGACAGGCAGGGGGCCCTCTGAATTAAGAAGACAAAACATAAAACAGACCCACAGATACAGAAATTTTAATATAATAGACATACATTATTTGTTCTACGTTTTGTCCCTATTCTTGTTTTCCTCTGTTTTGTACTCAGCTGACTTTTCATGTCATTTCAAAAGGAATGAAACTAAGCTCGCTTAACCGATTGCTCCTTACTGTGTTTCCAAAAAGGCGACAGCAAAAGCAAATAACCCAGTCCTTCTTTCCACTGTAGACAAGCCATGATCTGCTAATCCGTTCTCCATTTTTCATTTGTATGAAATAATAGCTGCATGAATTCATAACAGCAGACAAGACAGAGGAGAGCAGGAAGCAGGGTTACCAATCTACTTGCTCTGGAGAGCAGAGTTTGCTGCTTTTATATGCTGTCACCAAAGTCTCCAGTAGCAGAAAAAAGGCACTAGATGTGGCGCTAGTTGCTTTTTTGAAATAAAAACTCTAGAGGGGTCTGAAAAGTTGCTGAATACACCTGTGCCTGAGACACGCTTAATATTATAAGCATTCTGATGGCGTTTTAACTAAGGGATTTTTATTAAAAACATAATTAATCTGCACAAATAAGTAATAGCTGTATGGAAAAGGAGTTTTATGGGGCCCCCAGGAACTTGGGGCCCTAGGCAACTGCCTAGTTTTGCCTAATGGTAAATCCGCCCGTGATGATACTACACAATTTTAAATAGGTAAATTAGATGTTATGATGAAATGCTCGCTACTTGAGCAACCGTTTTTTAGCAAACATTTAGTTACTTTTACATGAATCATTTCCTGGAAAGCTACTTTTTAATCGAATACAAAATTTGGGAACTCAACCCAGAGAGAATGTTTGAGTTGCTAAGTAGGGCATTAACGAGTTCTGATATTGGTCGCTGCATCTCTCTATGAAGTAATAACAGGAAGTCAGGGGGAGGGGGGTTATCTTTTGAGTTTTCCAGATGTGAGTCGACTAGCTGACTTTTTGGTGAATGCCCTATTGCCAGGTGAGGGGCGGTGCCCACCGATTTCAGAAATAATCCGAAGGTTTCTTAAAACAGCTCATTTTCCAGACACCCACAAAGCGTTTACTTATTATAAGCTCTCACTCACTTATTTGGATTGTTTCTAGAGGCAGAGAGTGACAAACGGATGTGCGAAAATAAAAAATAAAAAAAGAGAATTTTGCATGATGCGTCCCCTTTGGAATAAAAGTGGTTCTGTTTTGGTCAGACTGGTTGGTACCTTCCGGGTCCAGCAGCCTGGTGATGCCCAGATGCTGCTCTGCCAGGTTGAAAGCGGTTGTCAGGTTGTGTTGAGCGTTGGACTTTCTCAGCTTATCAAAGTCAATCAGATCGGGTCTGAAAACGCACAAAAAAGCTCTTCAGAACACAACGTGTGTGTCTATCAAAACAGCATGTCTGCCCAAGTGTCCCGGATGAAGAAGACAGTACCTGTGTTTATGGATGAGTGCATTGAAGGCCATGCCGTCTCTCCAACTGGTGGTGAAGTTATGGATGTTGACATTGGAGTATCTGAAAAGGAGGAACACCTGAAGTTAGTTGTGGTGTTGTTTATCAAGAACAGCGGTACCAGCAGCGATGGAGACCCACCCAGCCGTCTTCATCTGGCACCACAGCAGCAGGGCATCTTTAGCCGATCGCCTTTCCTTGTTGTCTTCAGTCTCCACGCTGATGTCCTGAATCTGAGGAAGAGACACCAGAAGCTTCAACGATGTAGATCAACCCCCAGATCAGACCATCAGTCTTGAAAGTTTCTTCTTCTTCTTCTCTACATTTCTAATAAAAGCGCATGTTCTGTCACCGCTTTGTTGCCCAAACATGGCGTCTGCAGGTAGGTTTTGTTTCCTGTAAAAGTTTTTCTGCAGGAATTTTATGAAACAATCAGAAAAGAACAGGAATCTGATCCCATCGGCACTGCTGGTTGTGGTTCTGAACCCTGCAAGGACTGATGCTGTGCATCAGAGAAGGATCAGAACCGATGAGCTCAGAGAGACAGCTGAGTTAACTTTAGACAAAGCCACATTTATGGCCTGGAAAACATCTAACATCACAGCTCCTTGCTCAACAGTTGGTTAACAATCACTTTCTGAGGAGCTTGGGTCTGAAAGTGGGGTCAGGCATCATATGAACACCCAGTTAATGATACCACACGGTCTGACCGGTTTTTGTCTGCCTTCAACCGATGCCAACTCTTTGGATTCAGATGCACCGTCATGATCTCACCTGGAAGCGCAGGATGATGGTCCAGATGAGTCCCAGTGTTAGTCGGTGGTTCCCATCTACTATGTCGTGAGATCCCATGTTCTCCAGGTGAACTCGCTGCTCCTTCAAGAACTGCAGAGCCTTGTCCACGTTCTCCAGGCAGTGAATACGCATCCTGCCTTTGGTGGGCTTCGGCTGCAGGTAAGAGAATCAGGATTAAACCTTTAGTTTCCCCTAAAATGCATTGTAGCCCCTCTGTTGTCCACTAGGGGCTGCTGTTAAACTGTTGCCAATAAAACCTGGAGCATCTCAGGAGACTCCCAGTCAATCGTCAAAAATTGTCCCTAAAATCTATAAAATGAGGCCAACTGGTTTTAACTGATCTGACAGAAACTGATTGATCTGAATGGGTTCCTGATCTTGAACAGGTTTCTTTTTATCTAAACAGGCTTCTGATCCAAATCAGACTACTTCTCTTCAATTAACCTCAACAGTTTCCTAAACCTGAACAGGTTCCTTAATCTGAAGAGTTTCATTAATCCTGGTTCCTCAATCTAAGCAGGTTCATGATCCTAAACAGATCCCTGATCCTAAGCAATCTTAGGTTCCAGATCCTGGACAGGTTCCTTCTTTCCTTAATCTAAACAGTAGGGGTGAACCAATCCAGAACTGATATCAGATATAGGTCCGTTATTAGGCAAACATCTGACATCAGATTATAACAGCCTGCACCTAAAATCTCTGATATTTTCATGCTGATATAAACACTGCTTCTGTGTAATGTTTATTTAACCCATTGGTCAATAAAAAACTGGGCAGTTGTTTTCATACCTATCACTCAAAAACAGAGTGATCTCACCTGATCAAACCTTTTTTATCATTCCAATCCACAAAATAATTATTAGATCATCTAAATCTTTAATCGTCTAAATTAAAACAGGACTTTTGTCTGACCTTAGCAGAAGAAAAACATCTGGAAGGATCAACAGATACCTGGATCTGTTCCCAGAGGAACAGAACTTTCCTCCCAGTCCTGAACTCCTGCCAGATTATTCTCATTGGAGTTGTACAGACAAGATAAGGAGATTTAGAGGTCTGTTAGTAACCATGGCAGCGACAAAAACAGCTTCGCTTTATCAGAGGACAATAAAACTGCACATTTTGTAGGGCCCTGAATGCACCACAGGAAGCAGCTTGGAGAGACTGGCCACCTCAGAGCCACCTTATCTGGACTTCTGAGACCAGAATTCGCCCGCTCTGACCTCTACCAGCAGGAAAACAGGAAGAGGGACACACCTGGTAAAACTCTCCAGCAGAATCCAAGTGTCCTTTTAGTGAGAGGATGTTAAGCTCCGCCCACTTCCTGCGAGAGCAGCGGGGAAACCTGCTCACAGCATGACCGGACTCCGGTGATCAAGAGAACCAGAACCAAAACGGTTAAGTTGTACTGCCAGGAAACTGCATCACCCAGCAGCCTTAGATGATTCCAGGAGTTGGTTTAAACTGTTAGACTGCTAGGTTTAGTTAAAGTTTTGTTCCAGGTTTGTAAATATAAGGTTCTTATGTTCAGTTCTAGAGCAGAACCGGGTTTAGGATCTAACTGGAACCTGTTTCTCTGCTGCAGCCTGCGTTACCGTTAAAGCAACATTCCACGACTGATCTGTTAGAACCATCCTCCACCAGCTAACCCCTACCCCAAAGTAGGAGTTACACTGGAAAAACGATTTAGAAATAAGTAAAATTTTCTTAAATTAAGTGTATTTACCCTTAATTTGAGTAGGTAAAGGAGGTAGTTTGCCAATGGAATTAGTATTTTTACTCCTAAAATAAGATAATTAGATAAAATGCACTTGAAATAAGACAATGCAGTTGTGTTTTCCTATTTTAAGAGTAAATTGTCTTGTTCTATTGGCAAAATGTCACTTTTATCTACTCAATCAAAGAACATTTTAAGAAAAAATGACTTATCAAGATTTTGATTTTTCCCAGTGTAGGACCCTGGAGGGCCCCAAGACAGGCTTATGCAGGGACACATTAAATAATAAAATACAGAAATGTGAAATAAATAAATGTACCATGAAATAAGATGTTACATGTATTTATTTAATACATGATTTAAACAATACATGTATCTGCATTTATTAAAAGAATCAGTTTAATTTTAAAATGCACCAATAAATATTTACAAGTCACCTTAAATGAATAAAAGTACATTTAAGTTATAAATTAGATACTGAAATATAATTTAAAATACCCTATTTTTATTCATGAATGTGCTGTAAACATGGAGCTCAACCCTGGAAAGGGTACCAACTGGTTCTGAGAGAATAATTCAATAAATGCTAATTAAATGTGATTTAAAAACTGACATTTCAGTCTTAATTGGGCACCGGAATGGATCCCTCCCCCAGTGTTTAGCTGAGATTGTGAAGATGGCTTAATATTAATATTAATATTAATATTAAGAAACTTCTGGATTTAAACAGTTTCATCATCCAAGGGTTAGTGTCTGACCAATCAGAGCTTAGAGAGCAGAGGGCCACGCCCACACTCTCACTCACAGCCAGTAGGTTTAACCTCTGGTGGAGATTCTGGAGAAACTGGACCTAAAGGTTCTGTTAAAGTTGTTCTACTTACCAGTTTCTCCCCAGAAAGGACCTCCAGCAGCTTGATGAGCATCCTGCCATCCCTCAGGTCCATGTAGAGGTCTGTGATCCTGCAGGAGACTCTGGACAGGTGGGAGTTGACCCACTTGGTGAAGGTCTTCTTCTGGACTGCTTCACGTTCATCTGGGCAGAAACAAACAGACGTGCTGTGATGTCCTGGATAATCTCAGTTCTGTTCTGACCCATTAGAGACGTTCTGGTTAAAAAGCTTTTATTAAAGCTTAACCTCTCTGAGGAGGCCTGTTTGCTTCCTTTTTATCAAATGTGATGAAAACCATCAATAAGGAACCAGAACCTGGATTTTTTATGCTTCTGAGCCTAAACTGATGAACTCAGCCAGAACAACTAGAACCAAATCTGGACTGGAAGAATAAAACCTGAGCCAAATCTAGAACTTTTCTGCAGAGATCCAATCCCATTCGGGGGGTATAACCCCTCCAATCCCTCCAGAACTAGGAGTGTTCCTGTGAACTTTTGACCCAAACAAAAGCTCTGGTCCCTGGGGTTCATCCAGGGACCAGAGCCCCTCAGTACTGGGAACCTGGACAGAGGAAGCAGCTGTTCCGATCCGACAAAATCCTTCACCTGTGTGTTTTCCCTCCAAGCTGCCTCTTCTTACCTTGCAGCTGTTTGAATCGGCCCTCCAGCAGGTTGTAGCTGACCTGCTGTGCTGCGTCCGCCTCCATCCCGACCCAATGTCCACAGACGCTCAGTTCAATGCAACGCTTGAGTGTTTCCGAGTTAGAAAACCTGACGGACTCCACAGATCCTGGACCATACCAGACTGGGTGTCAGCTTCAGTCCAAAAGCACCTGCAGCAAGTATTTGCATAAACTGAACCCGTTTCCAGCTGAATCCACCAACATTCCAGCTTCCCGGTAGCAGAACCGGAGTCCAGAAAGAACAGAACAACTTCAGCCGGGATTTGAAAAAGAAACTTTAAAAAAATCTGGTTCAGATCCTGGACTTTTCTTTAGGATGATAACTTGATGTTGTTTCCTTCACTGCGAGAAAGAAGAAGTCAGAGCCGAATGTAGGAGGCTGAACTTTGGCCAAACTTCACGAACGAGAAGTCAAATTTTAACTTTAACTCCCTGAAGCTCTGAACCAAGGCGGGATGTGAGAGGCTCTGGAAGTTCCCCGGGAAATCTGCCAGATTCCAAGCTGCAGGATTGGAAGAATTGATTCTAGGAAAAAGAGAGAGACGTCCTCGTGTCGATAGGAGTGGAGGAAAGAGTCCAGAGGTCGCAGTGACGTCCGCTGGACGGCGAGCAGTGCGTGCGTGTGTGTGTGTGCGTGTTCACATCACTCACTCAGCTCAAAACCCGGGATCTGATTGGGCTATGTGACACAAACACACACATCAAGAGCCCCTCCCATTTCAAACAACACCCCCAACCCCACCCCACCCCCGACACACACACAATCATTGAAGAAAAAGAAGACGCTGTAAAAAGTGAAGCTCTGAGAAAAGCTGCAGAGTTTAAAGGGAAGACAGGGACGAATCCACCCTATGGAGTGAATTTTGTTTCATTATTGTTGCAGAGAAAGAATTCATATTGTAAATGAAAATTTGCATAAAATGCAATCCAGAAATTTAACATTGAAAAATGTTTTAATCAAAAAAAAGATTAAACATTGCTGTTTTCTCAGAATTTAATTTTTCATATTTCATTTTTTTCTTATTCAATTTCTTTATCTTTTACTGTTTTTTATTTTACTTTTTAGACTTTTTTAGATAATATTAGTGTGTTTTTTTTTTTCTTTTATAGATTGAGTTTATCAAATGTAAACCTTTTCAAATTGTGGTTTCAGATCACCTTCTTTTGACTTCTGGTGGCGGCCTTTCCCCTGGAATTTCTAGGATTTCTATTGGTCTGCAAGAGAATATTTGGATTTGTACGGAAGAGGATTAGGGCCACTGTAAAAAAAGTTAACTGATTTTTAAATTTTATTTCAGTTTAACATGGGAAAAAAGTCAGAATTCTGACTTTTTTCTCAGAATTCTGCCTTTAATCTCAGAATTCTGAGATTAAAGGCAGAATTCTGACTTTTTTCCCATACTAAACTGAAATAAAATTTAAAAATCAGTTAACTTTTTTTTTTTTCCACTGGCCCTAATTCTCTTCCGTAGAGTTGGCTTGAAGACTATTTAAAAATAAAATTAGAAAAAACTAAATCTGAAAAGCAGAAATTTGACAGAAAAGTTGGAAAATATAACAAAAGTGCTTGAAATAATTAAATTTGAAGAAAAATTATTGGTAAAAAAAAAAAAAAAAGAAATTACATTTAGGAAAAAAATTGAAATAAAAAAATTTAATAAAACTGCAAAGTTGCTCTCAAAATATTTTTGATTACATTTTTTTCAAAGATTTATTTCTGGATTGTATTTTTTTTTAAGTTTCCAATTACAAAACATATTTTTTGCTTTCAACAACAATGGAAGACTATTCCCTCCATACTCCGACTCTAACAGATCTGAGATCTAAGAAATGATGAAGGACGCCTCAAGAAGACTCTAAGGAGAGCGAGGAAAACCCCAACTGATTCAGATGTTTGGTTCTACATCCAGAGAGGACATATTCAGTAGCTTCTGTGAGGAGCAGAGACACGCAGCCATTAAGACACGCATGAGCACAGCCAGGGAGGGATTTACAGACAGCAAGAAGAATCCCTGCCCCACCTGGGAGATGGATAAAGGTGGGGCAGGGTTGACTCCACAAATATGGCGGACATGCATCAGCAAGGCGTAGACCCACTCAGTGAGGCGTCTACATATTCATGGTCTATGGTTAAAGCAACACTGCATGACCTTTGACCCAAGTATTACCTTAAAGGAATAGTACACCCAAAACATGATTAGCCTTCATTTTCTACTCACCCCCATGCTGAACAACACTCTGGAGTACTTTTTTGATATCTCAAATGCATCTGGAGATCTGGGAGGCTTCTTGCTGTCTGCTGACATTCAAATAATGGAGGTCTATTGTGCCCGAGACAGAAAGGTCCATAAAAGTCCACAAAAACGTGTCAATATTCCTCCATACTGCTCGTCCAATGTAATCCAAGTGTCCTGAGTGGGTAGCATCCAGAATTTACTCGAAACGAAGTCATTTAGAATGTTTTTAGAGCATAAACAGTAGTGTATAGGATTTCCTAATAGCGCCCCCATGCGCGCTCACGACGCTACGGAAGCCGGCAGACCAAACCGGAAGAAAGTGCGCATTCAGCGTCTGGTCTGCCGATAATGCAAGCGTAGAAGAAGAAATGTGCTGTTTACCTGTGCAAAGAAAGAAACAACGAAAGAAAAATGTCTGAGGACTTCAGTGTTGAGGAAGAGCATGAGTTCTTTGCCGAGCTGAATGCGCTGGTTTGGTCTGCCGGCTTCCGTAGAATCGCGAGCGCGCATGGGGGCGCTATTAGGAAATCCTATACACTACTGTTTATGCTCTAAAAACATTCTAAATGACTTCGTTTCGAGTAAATTCTGGATGCTACCCACTCAGGACACTTGGATTACATTGGACGAGCAGTATGGAGGAATATTGACACGTTTTTGTGGACTTTTATGGACCTTTCTGTCTCGGGCGCCATGGACCTCCATTATTTGAATGTCAGCAGACAGCAAGAAGCCTCCCAGATCTCCAGATGCATTTGAGATATCAAAAAAGTACTCCAGAGTGTTGTTCAGCATGGAGGTGAGTAGAAAATGAAGGCTAATCATGTTTTGGGTGTACTATTCCTTTAATATGGCGTATGTGTCGCCGTGGCTTGAAGCAGATCAAAACCTTCACAGGTGGGTCGAAGGAAGATGAGGAAGAGTTCAACCTCCCAGAAGCTTTTAGAGGCTCATCAAGCCTTTCAACCAGGGACCTGTTTCTATGTGAGGATTATAGAAGGAGTCCCAAACGGAACCTAAAGTGTCACCTGGCCACTGATACGTGTAGCTTAGCAGATAGTTTGATGGTTTGTTGTCGGTAGGGATCCAAGCATCACCAGCCAGAGATCACTTAATAGAGAGAAGAAGTGATCCGAGTACACGGCTTTGACGAACTCCTGACTGAAGAGAACTAAGGATGTTCAGCAAACACATGTTCATGAAGCTGGGGGGGACTTCTCTTTCTGCTTACAGATTTTTTTTCTCTTTAAAGAGTCATGATGGGATTAATAGAAACATGAATCTACAGGTTCAGTCTGGTTTTTCCAGCTGTTTCCTGACGTTTCCCCAGTTCAGACTGGTCCAGATCCTGAATCAGTTTTTACATCTAGCGATTCATCATCACGCTGGGAAGGGTGGGATACTCAACTGTGAGTATTTCAGCAGGTCACCTCAGCCTCCAGGAGTTACTGGTTTTGTTTCCTCCAGCAGCTTGTTTGTTTGGTTTGGTGGCTGTGGCTAAGTCCCACCGTTCACGGTCTGTGCAACCGAGTTGCTCCAGGATTGTTGGACTTGTCATCATGTCCTTTTATCTCTGAGCCAGACAACACATACAAACACCATCTGTTCATCACTTTATTATGCTTCAAGGCACAGGTGTAACGAGCAGCCATCACAGTCCTCTCTCATCCACAAGGTAAATGGAAGATAATCTATAAAGCTCTACACACCAAAGCAGAGCCAGTTAGCATAGATAGTACATAGCAGCAGCTGATGGTCCAGTTCTTGTTGACTTGGAGCCAGTATCATTACAGCAAACTCTTCTTGAGCTCAAGTCTGACTTTGTATATTTTAGCTACTGAGAAAGATCAATTTCAGATCTGGACTTAAAAGGTATTGTGGAGGATTTTCTCTACACTTAAAAAAAGAATTGCAGATGCACAACCCTGTTGCTCCAGAGAGGGAACGCCTATTAAACGTTTGCCGAAGCATTTCTCTTCATGCACGCTCTTTTTAAAAGTTGCTGTTCTCATAGCTCATACAAGCTTTGTATGTGTCTGAACATCCGCCCTAACCCCTAAATCCCTCACTCACTATATAGAGCGGGGACTATATAGAGGACTTTATAGTGAACTCAGTTAACTGACCGTTCGGAAAGATGATCACTGCTTTTTTTCTCACCGTTGGTCACGTAACACCACCTTCGCTGTGCAGTGTCGGCGCCATCTTTGTTATTAGTCACCGCTGTTGGGCAGCTTATAGCGACAGCGGGCCGCTGTGCAGGCATATCCAATAATGCTTTGCGAGGAGAGCTCTCCGCACAAAGCATTCTGGGATCAATCTGCCTCTTCTGAGGCCTTTCTTTTCTTCTCAGACACTTTTTCTCTTACGACCCTCTGCCATTTTCAAAGAACCATGGTTAAAATAGTGAGCTTCAATGACTGAAAGTGTGCATGTGTGCAAAAAGATAGCTAACGGGACGAGCATGTAGGACGGCCTTACGTAAGCATAAAACCAGAATGATTGACAATTAGGAGGACCACTTATTTTGACAGGGTTTATACATGAATGAGTAACTCTTATTTAATGCTTTTTAATCCTCTTTTAATGCTCTTAGGAAAATTTTTCATGCCATCAACAAGTACCCATGACTCTCATAAAATCCTTCGTCATCTGAGTTCATCACCATGGACAGGCTGCAGCCATGTCCCGAGTTCCTTGTTTTCCCGCCACTTTGGTTGAAATTTGCATTTTTCCCAATTCTCTAGCCTTTTCTCCGCCTCAAGCTTCTTTTCCGAAGCATTTTAATGCCACGATTATCAAATTTAATAAATTTTAATGCTAATTAAGGCCTTAATTTAAAAAATAATAATTTAATGACTTTTAATGATTTTTAATGAC